TCCTATTCACGTTCACGAGAATAGGACATACATACCTAAGTAATAGTGTCAGCATGTATACTTGAGTGAAAAAATGGTGAATGGAGTGTCTTGTGAACAAAGGACAAATAAAGATAAGTATGAGGCATGTGGCACATGTGGAGCAGAGTTTCCCCTTTCTCTCTCATCATGCAGTAAGTGGCGTGTGCTTTTATAATACTGGGAACACTGGACCCCAGGTGTTTCCAATAACTAACTACCTGAACACACCTACCAGCACCTGCAGCACAGAACACACAGACAAACACAAGCAGCCAAAAGAGGCAAAATCGTCACAATCCTTTTTTATTTTTGTACTGCCAAATTAACAGACACAACGTTGCAGATGAGATGACTCACGGTGGCGAAGCAATCATTCAGTTTTGGTCAACACCTCTGATGGACATTCCTGCAATCAACATGCTCCGCCTTCCTCCCACAGTCCAAAGACATGCAGGTTAATTGGTGACTCTAAATTGTCTGTAGGTGTGAATGTGAGTGTGAATAGTTGTCTGTCTCTATGTGTCAGCCCTGTGATAGTCTGGTGACCTGTCCAGGGTGTACCCCGCCTCTCACCCAATGTCAGCCCACCTGCATCTGCTTGGATAAGTGGTTACAGCAAATGCATGAATGAATGAATGAGTACTATATTAGGAAACTTACTAGGAAAGTACGAGAAAATTGTTCTGAAATTATGGACCCCTTAAAAAGCAGTCCTGCTGCTGGTAACAGCCGGTCTCCTGGTATCTCCTCCATGCTCTTGAGACTGTGCTGGGAGACACAGCGAACCTTCTTACAACCGCACGCATAGATGTGCCATCCTGGAGGAGCTGGACGACCTGTGCAACCTGACTGAGCTGCAGGTACCGCCTCATGTAGTGACAAGGACACAAGCAGAACACAAAACTAGAGAAGTATCAGTCAGGAAGGATAAGGAGAGAGCAACTGTCTGTGGACACCACACATGAAACCATACCCTTTTTGGGTGTTGTCTTGATTTTGCCTCTCTGTTGCACCTGTTGTCACTTTGATTTGCACCAAAGCAGGTGAAACTGATTCATAATCACTTGTGCTTCCTAAATGGACAGACTGATCCCTGAAGTTTAACTGACTTGGTGTTAAATTGTGACCTTATTTTTTTAGCAGTGTACAATAGTTAATCATTAGTTTTTCCTACACTTTCTGAAAGCCTCCGTACACTTGCTGCTTTCAGAAAAGATAAATGTGTAACTTTCTTGTTCTCTCAGTGCAACATTTAGTGATTTCAGACGGACTGACAGCAAAACCTGGTGTCTGCTGCTCATCTTTAATATGTAAAAATGTACTCTTGAGGTGTTGAACATGCAGCTGCTGTGGTGCAGGGGAATGTTTGTGTTCGTTTATGCATGTGAATGTGTTCAAGATTGCTGCCCTTACTGCAGCAGTAATAGAATTTCCATTCATGCCTTCTTAAGAGGCCCAGGAGGCACTACTACATCCACAAACAAATGACAAGGCTTTTACCTCAAGGACTTGCGGCTCCGCTGCCTACACATTTGAGGACAATAGACCATTCAAGCTAACCACAGTTACTGCGCTGCGTTAATGAAAGCCATCAGGGGGGAGACCTTGACTGCAAGTTCACATTCTGTGTGTACTACTCCAATACTTCATGTAAATTATTGAGGAACACTTGTTTTCACTTTGGGTGGTTGAAATATGAAAATCAGGTGTTTTTGCATTCCAGGTGCGTACAGCATCATCACTCTACTTGTTAATGTAAGAGGCAGCAGACAGTAAATACATCTTTCATGATGTTTGCTTTTCATATTTTTTGACATTTCTGTGTCATTTTAAATCAAGTGCTGCTGTAGTGAGTGTTTTACCTCGTGGTCGAACTGAGTTTTGGCAAGTTTTGGCACTCATTGAAAAGGCCGAAGCGGGTTTGGCTCTGGGAATATGCACAGTGGAGTGCAAAAATGGGCAAGAATGAGGAAAAGCAGGAAGATAAATGTCCTGTCTGGTTGGATAAATAAAAGCCGGGCAAATAAAGAGATCTGTGAGAGGAGCAGGGTGAGAGTAAACAGAGATATGTGACGACAGAGAAGAAGAAGAAATACATGAGAGAAGAATGGAGAGAGACAAATGCGGACAGGAGTGAGGAGTTGATGCAAATGTCATGTAAATCCTCTGTGCCTGCTGTTTATCTTTGTAAAAATGTTCTACGTTGTTCTCTATTTTTAAGAGAAAAATAAATAAATTGCCACATGAAATTTCAGAAGCAACCCTGAAATTAAAAACAACAAACACTCTCATTTTGGCGAAAACAAATGTGGCACGTGAATCATAAAAAGAACATCTGGAAAAATCAGGACAAAAATAAAGATGGAATTGCAGTAGTTTCGTGAAAACATGCAGCCCACATTTATCATCCTTTCCTCTTGTAATCTTCATTTAGTGAAAACTAGATTTCAGCAGTAGTAACAGTCTTCTTATCTTTATGAAAACCAGCTTTGTGCCTTTCAAATCCACTCTTTCTTAGGAACAAGAGACAAAATGAAGCCACTCCAGCTGCCTTTTTTTAGGTTATGCCCGCCTTTTCAGGAGAATCCTTAAAACAAATGAGAAAAAAAGATAGGTGTCTTGCCATGTTATATATTTCTTCAATTTCCAAGAAAAATAACATTCAATAGAGGTATGAAGATAACAGAAATTGTTTAAAAACTCTACGTAATGACTTTTTCCACAGTGAAATATAATGTTTTAGCAGTCTTTCACAGGATGTAATAAATCAACACCATTCGGTAACTTTACATTTTTTTGTTGTTGTTGCCTTTCTGTAAGTCCTTCTGCAGACACCATCCTGGTTTATTGCCACTGAGCGTCCAACAGACTGCTGCTGCAAGTTGTGTACTCTCTATCGATGGTGGTGTTGCTCTGCCAAGTCATCACACAGTTGTAAGCGTACATCATTTGGTATTGCAGTTATTTGAAGACTTTCTAGGATTAAGTACTGCCACTTGATACCTTTGAGGTATCAGCTGATATAATCCATTACCAAGAAGTATCAAAACTTCCCCTGTCAAATGATACCCGACTCTGTGGCTCAGGAGTAGAGCTGATCGGGAGATTGGCAGGTCGATACCCGGCTCCTCCAGTCTGCATGTCGAAGTATCCTTGGGCAAGATACTGAACACCAAATTGCTCCTGATGGCTGTTCCATCGGTCTGTGAGTGTGTGTGAATGGTTACTGAGTAGCAGGGGGCACCATGTGTGGTAGCCTCGGCCACCTGTGTGTGTGTGTGTGTGTGTGTGTGTGTGTGTGTGAATGGGTGAATGTGACATGTATTTTAAAAGCACTTTGATTAGTCAAATGACTACAAAAGCGCAATACAAGAGTAGTCCATTTACCACTGGAAGCTTTTCGTATACAGATCCAGAAAAAATGAGTATTTGTATGGTGCTCCGTAACTGTATAAAATAATAGACGTAGCTACGGTGACGTCACTTGTTAGTGTTTGGACTCCCATTCTGAAGCCTTGAGTTCTGCATTTTCACCGTTGCCATCCTCTTTTTTTGAGCCAGAAGTGACCAAATTGGGATGAGAGGGTGGAGCTGTGGTAACACTATGACCAATCAGAACAATACACGGGGTGACGTATCCAGAGCGCTACCAGCGGAGCTAACTGGTAGATTAGACTCTTGCCGTATCCGGTCGGCAAAACAGCAAAAACGTCCTTCTTGCAAAGGAAAGACTCGAGCGCTATCTCCTGTTCCTCTTTTAGAGAAAAAGCCAAGTCTAACTCTTTCACTGTAGCGGCCAAAGCTGTTTCAAATAACTGGTGTTCATCCGTTACAGCTTGTAACTTAAAGCAGCCAACCCTTAATTATCTGTAACTTTAAGACTTAATGAAATGCGAAGGGGTGAGTTATACAAATTTTTATCCCCATAAAGGTTTCATGAATGTAGAAATAAGCTAAAGAGACCAGGACTGCTTTTTTTAGTATCAGGGTGTAAACATGTTTATTTTTGCAGTAAAGTTCGCAGTTTGCAGTAAAGAATTCCAACATGGGGGTCTATGGGGATTCACTGGCCTCTGTGGCCACCCTTAAGTAGTTTTTGGTACTTCTGAGTTAGCTTCATTTTTCAGCTTCATTTGTACGGTTGTCTTCGCAGCCAATCACCACACTCATTCCTTGATTTAATGTGATGTGTGATTGGCCCACTACTGCAGCAGCTATGACCCATACAGTTGGTGGTGTGGTGAAGTCAATTTTGGTGTATTTGACAGAGTTGAACATTCAGTGTCCCGAAATGCCAAGAGAATGTCTGAAAGTATGGGTATACTAAACTTGTGTGGCGTCTGGTGGTGTTGTACACAATGCTCCCCCTCACATGATGGGTATAAAATGAAGTAGAAAAATCTGATTTTCATGGGCTCACTAGGTGTGAAACGATCAACGTTATATGGTTTGATCACAAAAGACAGTCTGAATGTGTCTCAGAGCATGAACTGAAGTCAGGTATAGTTATTACACACAGTATACAGTATAAGCAAATAGGATCCCTCCTATAGTCTAAATGACTCAAGAGCCCCTGGTACTTCAGCAGAGATAATTTCACATCACTATAATGTGACCAACATAGTTTCCACATCTCCATCCTGTCACGTAGGTCATCATGATTTTGAAACAGGAACTGAAAACTTTCAGAGGAGGACTTAGAAAAAATCCAAATGATGCAATCAGTCAGTAAAATCAGCCCTGCAGCCGCAGTGTCATCACATTGTGTAATCTGCACACTAAAACTGAGAGTGCACAATTTATTCTGCGATCAGTAAACGATGTGCAAAACTCAGTGAACACGGTGCTGCTGCAGATAATAAATGGGAAGTTCATTTAAACTTCATTTAAAATTTGTGATGTGACAGGACTGTCTCATATCTGCTGTCCTCACACAGACATATTCTTACAGATCAACAGCTATCAGAGGCTGCACAGCATGTGGTCTATAATTTATTGAAACAAGTTTTACATTACAAAAGAGTGTTTCTGGCAGTCTAGAGGCCTGTAACTTTTATGACAACAACTGTAAGAATAATACATTTAAAATGCTTTGAAATGAGAAACTCATAAGTCATAACAAAAAGTAACAGTTACAGTGCTACATGTGACAGTAGTCTTAATACAGACTTTGCATAGATCAACATCACTATGAGTGAACAGTACCAGTCTGTGTGCCGCACTGCACTGTGAAGGTTTTTGCTCATTTCTCGCTCAGTTATGAGAAGAAAGGCCTCTAACTTCAATTTGGTTATCGCGTCTTCAACTCAGTCGAAGGATTTCACAGCTCTTACCAGTTGAAAAAGTACAAAGGCACAAGGTAGCTTCTAAAGGCATGACATTGAACATTCATTTCAGTTCTTGTGTTAAAAAATAACAGCGTTTGCTGTACCAAAAAGAAAAAAAAGAGTAATATGAAAATAACAAATACAAACTGCACACACACGGAGAATGTGATAATTTACAGATCACACAGAGAAACAGACAACACTCGTAATGTCTCTAAGTGCCAGATTTGTAAAAAGTGACTCACTTGGAAAAAAGTAAACTGACAAAACTGATGCAGACAGTTTCATTCAACACCTCTCTACTAAAAACAGTAGGCGGTAACAACAGTAACACAGCATGGGAGTGGTGCAGTGTTTTCCTCTGTATTTATTCAGCAATGATGTGCCAGCTCAGCAAAAACATTACAACCTTTGAAGATAAATGTGCCACATTTAATTCTAAAGCCCAAACAGAGCTAATGAGTTACCGTACTAAAAGCATTCAGTTTGGTGTCAGGGTTGCAATCTGCAGCAGTCCAACAGCACACAGCACAGGGACTGATGTGGAATCAATTGTAAAAATTTGCCCCTGAGCACTGCGCTGCTGCATAAAAAGTCAGAGGAAAACACTGCATGGTTCAGCGCCTGGTTCTCTCAGTATGAGCGGACTGCTGGTTTGCCATCCTGGGACTGGTTGAAGGGATTCCCTGAGCTGGAAGACTCCTGGTCCTGCTGGTCAATGGACTGGTAGGCATCTCTGTTTCGTGATACAGAGGGGAAACCTGCAGAGAAAAGCCAAACGTCTTCAACACACCAAACCCCCGCCGTGCAAATGTATTATTCATAATCATATCTGCTTAGAATCACTGCGGCTAATCAAGGATGTTGCAATATACATAATAAAACTGATTGCACGAGCAAGGAATCCTTAGACAGCTTGTACAGAAATTCGTTTTCAGCCCAAACGCCAGGGAACGTGTTGGCATTGTATGCTTCTGCAAACCACAAATACATTACATTTGCATGTTTCATACATCTTAACAATGTTTCTAAAGTCACGTAGCGTATTAGCTGCATCATCGGGATATGGAGGGGATGGTGAATGACGTGTCACTTAGGCGAGACACCTGCCATGCTGCATGCCACTGTTTGAGACCAACATAAAAAAAAAACGGATGTCCTAGCATATTTCCAGTGGCTGTTTAGGCACTAAACAAGGATGTTTTGTAGCAACCCCTCAGTGTTTGTCAATTGGCGTGTTAGGCTCCAAATGTAGGTGGTCTGTAGCAACCTGCCAGTGTCTTTCCATCTGTGTGTTTCCAGCTGCTTTTTGGGACAAAACTTGTGTGTTTTGTAGCGACTCATCTGTGTGTTTCCAGTGGCTTTTAAGGCTCCAAAATAAGTGTTTTGTAGCTACCTGTCTGTATTAAACCAGGGGCTTTATAAGCTCCAAAGGAAGTGTTTTGTGGCAACCCATCAGTGTTTTTCCAGTGGGTATTAAGGCTCTAAAATTTGTTTTGTAGCAACCTATCAAGATTTTTCCAGCAATGTATTAGGGTCCAAACAAGGGTGTTTTGTAGCTTTTAAGTTTTGTAGCAATTCATCTGTGTGTTTCCAGCAACTTTTTAGGCTCCAAATGTAAGGGTTTTGTAGTGACTTGTCTGTGTTTATTCAGCTGCTTTTCAGGCTCCAAACATAAATGTTTTTCCAGCGGATATGTAGGCTCTAAAATTTGTTTTGTAGCAATCTAACATTGTTTTTCCAGCAACATATTAGGGTCCAAACAAGGGTGTTTTGTAGCAACCTATCAATTTTTCCAGCAACATTTTAGGGTCCAAACAAGGGTGTTTTGTAGCGACCTGTCTGTGTGTTTCCAATGGCTTTTTAAGTAACAAATCTGGGTGGTCTGTGCAACTTTTTTGTGTTTTTCCAGTGTTTTTTTAGGCTCCAAACATAGGTGTTTTGTAGCAACCTGTCTGTGATTTTCCAGCTACTTTTTAGGCTCCAAACGTGGATGTTTTTTAGCATTCCGTCTGTGTTTTTCCAGTGACATTTTAGGCTCCAAACATGCATCTTTTTTAGTGACCCATTGGTGGGGGCAGTTGCACGAAAAGTGGTTCCTTTTACCGAAACATCCCTGCTTTTCCTGCTGTGATTCTGCCCCCCTAAAACTGGGTATTTCAAGCCCAAAACTGATCTTTTCCCAACCATCCCCAAGTAAATTTTATGCCTAAACCTATCCACATGTCAACCACAGTGTTGTTAAAATGTAAAGTTTCAACATGTCCACTTCACAATAATGTGCAAATGAAATATATCTATGGTTTGCATTAAACGTACACTGCCAACATTTCTACTGGTGATTGGGTTGGATTTTTACAGTCATTTCTCTTCACACAGAGATTCACAGCACAGTTGTTGTTATCTAGATTAGAGCATCTGGCCCCCTCTGGATAAATATAGATTATACTGTTGGAAATGTTCTTTGCCAAGACGCAGTAAAGCACACACTGCCTCTGATGGACGCTGGGATGAGAAAACAGCTAATTACACAAGAAAACCTCTTTGAGTGGTGCCGAGTTCTTCCCATTTCATCACTCTCTTTACACCCACTACTGTCTGATTGAAGCTGCTTGTTCTGCAGCTAATTGACGAGACATTGACCACAGGAACAGATCATCATCAGTACTCTGAGAATGAGTCTGAAAAATCTCATGTGAGTAGAATCTTCTAATACGTGTTTACACTGAAAACCTTTGCATGCCAACTCCTGGGTGCTTTATACTTTATGTAAACATGCTTTATAAGAAATTCTAAGAAGGCAGTACACTGACACAATCCATCTGAAAAGTCTTAAAAAGCTCCCAATGCTCTTAAACAAACAGTCTCCTCTCTGACACGGCCAGAATATCAATAACGTGTTTTTGGAAGTTCAAAGGCTCGCACACTCTTATGTCTGTGTGGCCCAGAGTCCTGTAACTGTGACAAACACGCACATATTAATGCTAATCAAACAAACACTTTCATTGCAACGAGTTTGGATGATTTGCAAAATTATATATTAATTTGACCAAATTTGCACAACTGTGATGTTTTTGATTTTTTTAATTTCATGTAAAAGCATAAAAAATACATTAATAGGTCTGATGAAACTGCATCAAGTTTTTCGACAAACCTTCAATAACTTAAGTCTCACTCTGCATTTTAAACAGGTCACATCCATTGTCTATTATAAGTCAACATTACTTTAATTAGGCTGATTTGAGAATGTGCACCATCATGCAGCTCTGCTTTAAATATATGCAAACAGAATACACAAACACAAATGAGGTGTCTGGAGAGTAAAAATATGAATAAAACATAGATGCAAACTTTCAGAGACATATAAACGCATATAATACAATAGACATACAGTGGTGACAAACACAGCTATGCAGGCAGGTATGGGAGGGCAGTGAGGACTGATGGAGGTGGGACAGAGAAGGATGGACAACAGAACATTAACAAAATAAAAACCAAGAGAAAAGAGTCAGTTTCTTTTTCGTCCCTTCTGCCTAATTTGTAATCTTACTTCCTGTGTGGGAGAGGATGGAAGAAGATGATTGGAGAAGACAAACACTAAAAAGGGAAGAAGCCGGGAATCAATAGCGGCGGCCAATAAAGGCACTGTCAGCACTATCCGTAGTGCATCGACTGTCCACAGAGGTCTCTAAGTCTGAGAGGTCAAAGGTGAGCAGTGGAGAAGAGAAAGGAAAAGAGAGGGGACACAAGACAAAAAGTCAAATCATAACAGGAAAAACATGAGACAACACAAATGGTCACATGATACAAAACGTGACTGTGTGACAGACGGACGGACAGACGGTGACGTTAGAAGTGACAACATGCAGGAAAAGAACAGGGAAATGCAGGTGTTGACACATTCTTACACATGAGGATTACACATCGACTGACTGCGTCACCACGAGCCAGCCGAGAACACTCAGGGGAAACAGCTAAGCCCCGCCCTCCCTTAGTTACTGTTGCTGTACCTGTTGAACTGCACATTCAAGTACAGTTCATATAGTAATTATAGATTTTATGACTCATGATTGGTGGTAATTTTTTTACACAATTCTCTGCTTGCGCAATGTAGAGCCCCTATCCGTTCTACAAATTTCATGCCTGTTTACTTCCTGTCAACTCTACAGTGACGTTAACTTCGCCTCCGATCTTAGTGACCTATGTGCTTTGTCATCCTTAAGTTAGTTACTTCAATTTTTACAGTTATATTTGTAGATACGTTGTACATACAGCCACCTATTTACCGTTCATTTTTGTATGAAGTGTTATTGAGTCATTTTAATTGCTATTAAAATTAATCAGCTAGCTTGGCTTGCTCCTAAAATGAAGAAAAGCACCGTCAAGTTCATGAGGAAGCCAGTCAGCGCTACAGAGCTTTACTTCTTGCCTTCCCAAAACGGTGTGCGTCAGTCACCTTCATATTTGTGAGAGCTCTTTGAAGCACCAAGTATAAAAGAGAGCCATAGCGACCTCAATTTCGCTACGCTCCAAAAAAAAAAAACAGGCTAACGTTGGCGCTCTTTTTTTACAACCGGTGCTTGAATGAGCTGCCGAAAACGACCCATACCACTATATGCAAACATGAACAGGAAATACAATGTGTAGGCTACAAAGCGTTCTGTAAAAGTGAAGTAGCATTAACTAACTTAAGGATGAAAGAACACTAAGGATGGACCATGGATTTATACTAATGAAAGGTCTACCAGATGACAAAATGGCACCTATTCATTCCATTGGAGTTGTCCACCTGGTGCATACGCTAAAAAAGAGTTTCTAGCTTCCTTTATTTCAGCAGCTGTTAACCTTGGGGCTTGAGAGGGAGGTAACAGGAAGTTACAGCTAAAATGACAACTGCCTGGCAGATTTCTGCAGCTATAGCTTGCTTGCTAATTAATGGTAACTCTTCCTCTGGCTGACTTTGTCTCCAGCTGACACATGTCAAAATGAGAATAAGAAGGTCTCAAATATGCTCTGGCTAAACCAGTGCCATCTAATGATGCACATAAATAGCCTGGTTCCAGACCATAGACCCCGCCCACTCAACTGAGTAGGCTTGCATCTCTGGTCTGGCATACTGCAATGAATTTGCGATTTATCTCGTCCAAGTGATGGAAGGACCAATGAACGCTGGGGGTGGGGGCAGGTCTAGCGATTAGCCAATCAGCGCCACACTGATGTCAAGCTGTACGCTGGTGGGTAACTGGTGAGGATAGCAACAATGGCGACCGCTACAGATCCTACAGACCATATTAACGATTCTATCGAGGTATTTCGCCACTACTCGCGTTAATGGAGGACCAAATTAAGGAAGCTGGGCGTGCACAACGACGGAGACATTTTAAACGGGCAATGCTCGCTTGTTTTCGGCACCCCTGAGGCATGGATACTAATGACATCAGATTCTGGGTGAGTCCTTGATCTCTACTGATTGGTTAGGGAAAAATCAAATTCCCTTCCCCTTGTAAATCGCCTTCAATGGAGGTGATGTCAGACTGAAGGTTCTGGGAGCTTCACGCCGGATTTCCACTGGATGCGTGTCCGTTGCGGAACGGCAGCGCTGGTTATCTGCTGCGTGCTCCGCCGTCCGTCAATACCCACCGGCTGCGTTTGCTGTGTGGAGCGGTGCAGCTCCGCAGGAAGACATCTCGGTGCACTGCCATGATTAATATCTCCTCGTCCATGGTGTTCACGGGGTGAAATGACATCTGAAAACCTCTGACCTGTTGACTTCAGGCCTGCCTCTGCCCATTATGTAGTTTTTAAGGTGTAGTGCAGGGAAATATGATCCGCCGTGAACACTGTGTATTTTATTTTGAAAATTAACCGGATGTTTTATTGTGTTTCTGTGCACGACTTCCTGCCCCGCATGACCTGCTTTGTGCTGAATTGCTGCGTTGTGCTCCGGCGTCTGGCAAAAATAGAAGTCCTGCGTATCTGTTGCGGAGGGCTCTGGAGTGCCGGAGCTGAGACGGAGCCGGAACGCAGCACAGCCGCAGCTTGTGGAAACACACACATTGACTAGAATTGAATCCTATTGGCTCCGCTGCCGTTCCGGAGCGGAGACGCAACCAACACGCATCTGGTGGAAATTGGCCTTTAGTCTGACACTCAGGCTAGCTCATAAAGACAAGACTTAAGCTTACAGGTCCTTGGTATTGCAGGGTTGCTAGCTAGCACTGGTATTACAGTAGGCTCCAGTTAGAGAACAGGAAAATGTACAATCAGGCTGTTATTTATTTAGTTCTACGACATTTGGGTGTGATTGTCCAAGGGTTCCATAATGGCACCATTCCATTTACCCACATGGGTGATTTTCCTCAAGTGGGCCAAAGATAAGATGCCCATTATGGGCCCATACCCACTTGCAGCCAAGGTAGCCAGTGAGTAACCCATGTGGGGCCCACTTGGGTAAACCCACCCATATGAGGAACTGGCACGGGGCCATTATGGGACCAATGGACAATCCCATATAGGGCCCATTTTTTAAGCTCATTTGCCAAACACATGGGGCCCACATACAAATGCTGACTGGGTAGTAATGAGTTTGGCCGTAGCTGCTTCAGTGTAAATCCCAAATCCAATTGCTAACGTTGCTACCTGCTAACTTTACTTGAACACCACCTGCCACTCCACAAAATAATGTAGTTAGCTAACGGTAGGCTAAATTAGCCTCAGAAGTGGTTCAGCATGATGAGAAATCCAAACCCTGACAGGCCTGACATGCTGACAACGTTCAGGGGAGGTGTTTAGCAAACAGTCAATTTTACGTTGAACGTGTGATCACCCAGTCTTACACCTTCTATATTAAGCAACGTAAAATTAAATTAAAAACACAAAGGATTTATTTAAACCAGCATAAGAGGGCCGCCAATCAAAACTCAGGTATCCCTGTACGCCTGAATCAACTACTCACTCATGCACCTGATTGCCTGGTTCCCAGAGTGCTTGGTGCCGCAGGGGAGCCATGTTAATACCAGCTATGCAATCAGACAGCAATTAAAACACACATTGTCTGAAACTAACATTAGCCACACTCATCAGTCACCTTGCAGCCAATCACAGTCTAATGGATGTACCTGCTGCGTGTATGTGGCATTAAAGTAAAAACCACAGAGGGGAACAGATTCATCAATATTCAATTATCCTCCGAGCAGTCAAATCAGGAGACTGCAGTGTTGGTCACAAAGTGGGAGAAATTTCATTGCTTTTCCCAGGGTGTAGTGTCATAAATTACTATTTTAGCTGGTGATATGACAGTTAATAATAAATTACACTTCCCTCCTCCTGGTTTATTTTTGTCATTTTTGTTGTTTGTCTTTTTATGAAGGCAGAAAAGCTCCCTGTGTGGAAACAATCTCACCGTCAAATCATTCACTACAAATGATGAATGCCACGGTGTTTGGTTAATCCATAAAGACGAAGCCATGATGAGGAACATTTTCAAGGATTTAAGAGTGCAGCAGATGTCACAGCTCAGTGGGATTTCTGATGGGAAAGCTCTCAGCGAAGCGAGTCCATGTCCCCAAAATCAATGACCACACTCGCTTAATCAAAGAACACATCTCGAGTATCTCCTGACCGGTCAATGGAAGCAGTGTACTTAGAGAGAGATATACTCAGCAGTCAAGAACATCACAAAATCCCTGCTCCTGTGCACAAACATACATCTCTGGACTCACATCAAACCTGTGCTATTTTTCTTTCACGGCACATCATAAGTTTTTCAGGCTGCATGGGTTTAATACGCTCCTGCATGCAGTATAAACCAGTGGCCAGGCTGACACACAAATGTTATAAACAACTTGTGGAGAAATGATTTCCTCGCCCGGGCCGAACTGCAGCTCAAATATTTTGCTGCATATTCAATTCTTGTGACTGAAACTAATTAGTTTGACTGTGGAATCATCTGCCAGTGGTTTAGCACAGAGTCTTCCCAGTGTGTGCTGCACTTGGCAGGCCTTTCATGACAAACGGCATAAAACAACATAGGGAGGATCTCAAAGTGCCCCTGGACACATGCATCACACCGATCCTCCAGCTTTGGTCACACTCAGGGATCTTTTTTTTTGTAGGGAGGAAACCTCAGATATTTCTCACTGGTTCTAAAACCACACTTGAGCATGTACTTGCTCAGTGAAACCTTATTTTGTTATGTAATTATTTATTTTCTGTCATCTGCTCCTCAAAAGGGAATTAGATTATATTTAGCTGATTCTAGTGTACTGGAAGATAGCATGAGTTTCCACTGTATGAATCTTATTTGTGGAAGCATCTAATTTCCTGTTGATGTCTTTTTCAGAGCTAAAAATCCTTGCAATGCCAACTCTTTTTCAAGACCAGGCTTGTGACCACTGACTCCTCATTTTGCAGCACTTACCAAAGTTAACGTTGTAATCTCCTCCACGCTCACGGTACATTTGGTAGACGAAGAAGCAGGACGCAGGTTTGAGCAGCAGGCTGAGGATGGCCATTCCTGCGCTGAAGCGAAACGCATTCCTTCCGCTCTCTGCTGCAAAGTCATTCATCGGGTAGAAGATCCCGAAATGGATGATGTCGGTCACTATCGTTACAAACATCCCCATCAGAAACTACAGGGAAAGAACAGAAAGAGAAAGACGTCTTAATGGACACAGATGGCGTGTCAGGCTTTTGGACTTACTGTATGTGTCAGTATGAAAAGTGTTTTCACTCTCTGAAGCGCCGACACGTCTCTGTAATTATACCACAGGGAGAGATTCCTTGTAACATGCTGTGTGTGGAAAATAAAGTTGAGATTTCTGAGTGTAAATGAGATAAAAACCAGAGTGCTGCCAGGAAGTCAGAATGCAAAATGCAAGAAATGAGACAGAAAACAATGAATGTGGAAATGTCTCTGTTGCCTTTACTATCTGGGGCAGTGAAATCCATATTATGGGATAAGAAATGATTTTCTAAGGACGCTTTTACATCAGGGACCTGGGGCTGTATCTGAGTACACTTGACCCCATTCAAGTTTGTTTGACTAGCGTAAACACTTGTAACCAGGCACGAATCAACAAACCGTGCTCAGGTCCACTTGAAAAAGTGGTCTCAAGTAGGTTTGGTTTGTACTCGATAGGGCTGCGTTCCACTAAGACTTTTCCTGGTCGACCAATAGTCATCATTTAGGGCCATTAGTCGACTAGTCACCTGCATGTTTATATATTAATTTAATCATTAAATGATATATTTTGGGCGGGGCAACACAATGGTTTGAGTTGAAGGTGTGAGAAAGAATAGTATCAGTAACATTGTTAACACTGTGCTACATTACAGAGAAATACAAAACCGTACTAATGAACCTTCATTAATATAGGCCTATATTTTATCTTCAAGTGCACGTCACACTCTGAGTGAGCCGCCTGTTAATGACGCTGTGGGCTAATGGGCATGTAGCTACTTCCATGTTTCAGATGATACGTCATGTTTGTAGTTGACCAATGAAGATGAATTTACATATCACCTTGGGTTCGTCCTTCACCTTCTCAAAATGATCCCACACTTTGGATTTCCTGCCCGACATGTTATTAAAGGTAGGATCTGGAGGATTTTCAAACAAAACAAAATATAGACATATACAAATGAAATCCTGCTTAATCATCACCTATGGGCTTCTACTCATGTGTGGTGGTGACTCTGTTTGCAGAGCTCCTGCCCTTTAACTGTATTTTGATGTTTTTGTGAGCTCGGACCACTTCTGCAGAGAATCGGCCCTCTACACGTGCTTTCTTATTATCGTCCTATTTTGCTGTGTTCGGGATGTTCCTGGGCACAGCGTGCAGGTGAATCAGGACTTCGCAAAAAAGGTAGTCACCAGATGACAGACCCCACATCCAAACGGAAGCTACGAAAATTGCGGACACAGCGTCCAAAAACACACAGACATAGGGAGGCAAAAAACACATCTGGAATTGGTTTTCACTTAAACTTGTACTGGCGATGCTGCTTATAAGCAGTAACTGACAATTCCTGCACAGTAGCATGTGTAGCAGTTGGCGAGTAAGGTTGCAAAGGTATTTCTCAATACAGCCAGTCTCCTCCAGAATCTGAGTATGCATGGACCATGTGCTAATCTCATCCTCTGATCTGCACAGCCATGGGTGACAAAGTAGGAGGGCAGACAAGAGGGTCCTTTTGTCTCCAAAATATAAACCAAAGCAGGCATAATGCGATGGTCAACTCCACTCTATGGGTTTGGGATCTTGTGATAGCTGCACTTTTTTACACTGTAGTGACAAGATACACAAATATCACTCGAGAAAGGGAACAGCATATGTGAAAGCTCAGTGGCGTGTGACTTTAATATGTGATTTGTTGACAAAAAGACACACTGAAATCTCTTCAGACGCTTGAGAGAGTGAAGCCTGGAGTTTATAACAGAGAGCAACATGCAGTAGGCTACATGGCACATGAGGCAGTGGGACTCTCTCCTAGATCTTGTACAAATGTGTGAGTAAGACACTGAATAAATGAATGGTTGATTTGATTTTAAAGCTGCATCCTCTGTATTAATTCTTTTTTCAGCTTTCTTTTCCCACTTGGTCCAGCTCAGTCCGCAGGGCTCTTTTCCTGTGGCACCCTAGACTTTAAAGTGCACAAGGTAAAAGGCTCCCCTATGGTTACTTCCCAACGGCAATGACAGTCAGAATCCATTACTGTCAAAGGTGTCATTGAAAGAGACGCTGGACAGCCAGTTTTTTCTAGAGGTGCTTCTCCTTGACCCTGTGGTGTATTTTATTGACATGTAGCACATCTTCACAGACAGAGTGGCAGGCTGGGGCTGATTTCAGAGGAGACAGACTTTGACTGTGGCTAAGATTTAACTAAAAGTCAGACTTCAGACAGACGTCTAAATTCAGCCGTTGCACAAAGCTGTTCAGTTTTTTTGACCAACCTAAAGGGGACCTATTATGCTTTACCTTAATTTTTGTCATATATATAATCCCTGTAAGCAAAACACTCAGGCTTAAGACTGTTCTGAACACCTTGTTTCTAATAGCTTTTCTGCTTTTGCGACAAGCTGTCAGCTTGTGAGGGATTTCTTTACGAGGTTATCTGCTCCAGGCACGCTACTGCAAGTGTTAACATTATGTAGCCTACACTGCTAAATGTAGCCACATGCTAACCTCAGGGAAAATGCAATCTTGGTTGCCCATGTTGTTAATTTCTCCTCAATTTCAGATCATATTTCTGCTGGAGCATGTCTGGCTGTGTTTAAAAGCCTTTAATGGCCATATTTAATGGGAGAAAGTGCCGCCATACACAGTCATTCCCTGGCTGCAAGTACACTGCTACATGTAGCTACATGCTAATGTCAGGGAAAATGTAATCTTGGTTGCCCATGTTGTTAATTTCTCCTTGATTTCAGATCATATTCCTCCTGGAGCGTATCTGGTTGTATTAAGAAACGTTTAGTGGTAATTTTTAATGGGAGAAAGTGCCGCCATACACATTAATTCCCTAGCTGCAAGTACACTGCTACATGTAGCTACATGCTAACATAAGGAAATGTTTAATCTTGGTTACTGATGTTGTAATTTTTTCCCCAAATTTCAGATTGTATTCCTTCTGTAAAATGTCTGATTGTACGTTTAGAAGTTTCAAAACATTTATTGATGATTTTTTGATGTAAAAAGTGCCATTATACTCCGTTATAGTCATTCCTCAGTTGCAGTGACAGTGCAGAAGCGCCAACATACTGAAGACCCAGAAACGCTGACTAATCAGAGCAGACTGGGCTTTTTCGGGAGCCGGGTTCAAAGAGACAGGTGCTACAATAGAGCGTTTCAGAAAGAGGGTGTATGCAGGTGTTCAAGCGCGACAGTCTGAAAAAATATAAAGTGTTTTTTGAATATTAAAGGCTGCAAACATGTTATAGTAGAAACCAAAATGCAAGTATGAACCTGAACCACTTTTAAGCAGGAATAATTTGCACTGAGTTAGAGGAAATTAGATCTTTTTTAAACTAAGAAAACATGGCTAGAACTGTTGTCCTCTGCAAGAATTCAACCGTTACAGTACAAAGACATTTTATTGGGAAGACTTAGCTGGGTGTAACAATACTTCCAGTAGCATAAAATCTCAATGCCAAGCAGACCTGAGATGTTATGTGACTTATCAGTCAGTCTCAGTAAAAGTTTCTTTGGACAAACCAAATTATATATTTCCACCAGGTTACTGTGCTCTCTAAAAACTATTTTCCATCTTAATGCTCCCTCTACAATATTATTAGAAAACCCTACATGTACATTAGGAGCCATGTTTTCCATTTGGTGCCACTGATTGTTACCATGAAAACATGAGTCATAGATCAGAGTTAGTGTAGGGTGTCAGAGTACATTTGCAGGCTTGAAATGTGCCTTTATATTTGTAAAACTTGCCTTAGAGTTATCTAAAAGCCAAAATAAGACCGGCCTCACACTACAGACCACCAGTCTGAAACATCTGGGTGAAACTGCTGCAGTAAACTGGCGCACCATGAAAGCCTCGGTTACTGCACTCTGTGCCGAATTAAGGCAAGACCTTGTTTCTCAAAGGGACGCTCTCAGATTGTCCTAGATTCCACAGACAAATAGGTTAGCACGGATACGCATTGCTAAGCCTATAGTTACACTCCTGTACTGGACTCACATGATGTTAAGATTGCAGCCTGCGTGAAGGAATCAAGGCGAAGACTCACCATGAGCACGGCATCAATCGAGTCCCTCTGTGCAATGGCCCAGACCCCGACAGCTAAAACACTGAAGTTCCCCCAAGCAAAGGAGGTGGGCAGCCACGCCATGCAGCCCCTGCAGCAAACACACGATTCATACAGTCACATATCAAGAATTCACAAGTATGGGGACGTGAAGGTGAAACAGTAGGTCTGAATCAAGACTCTGAGTGTGTGAACGTGCGTGTGTGTGTGTGCCAGGAGAGGAGAGAAATTCCTCAGGTTTGTGAAAAAACCCACTCACCATACTGTAAGCAGCCAGTGCACCATTACTATGGCCTATAACACAGAATATAAGACAAGTGTTAGACAGGAATATAGGATTGTTATTAATACTTTCCCTGTGGCGCAGAACACTTCAGTCTACAGTCAACTGACAGAAAATATATCATCAACAATTCTAACCACAGATTAATTATTAAAACTCCAAACGCATACTTTGTTTTTAACATATATATTATTGTAAACTAAATGTCTTTGAGTTTTGAACCTTTGTTGGACAAATAAGAACATTTAAAGGTCCAGTGTGTAGGATTTAGTAGGATATATTGGCAGATATGGAATTAAAGTATTTTTTCTTTAGTGTAAAATCATTGGAAAATAAGAATGATTGGGTTTTCGTGACCTTAGAAATAGCCCTTTATGTCTACATAAGGAGCGGGTCCTCATCCACGCAGTCCACCACGTTGCACCGCCATGTTTCTACAGTAGCCCAGAGCAGACAAACCAAATACTGGCTCTAGATAGGGCCATTTGCTTTTTCTTAGCGGCGAGACTGGAGAGGAAGAGACCTCTGTGGATAATTTGGCTCATGGTAAAAAACCTCCTGAACATTTGGATCTCAGCTTATCGGAGAAAACAGATAAAGACACATTAGCAGGTGCTGGGCTCGTGGCCATCTGCGACGTGACAAACAGCATCGGAAAGACACTGATTTGTTTTAAAACTTATTTATTTGGTGTGTTTTTTTACCAGTTGAAACCATCTGATACCACTTGTTTTAGAAAGGAGGAGACTTCTGCAGGTAATTCTGCTCCTGGTAAAAACTTCCTGAATAATGAACACGAACCAGGAATTAAAACCAGGAAAAGTTTTAGCTGGTTGCAATCTGCTAGTCTCACTGCTAAATGCCCTTAAATCCACCTAAATCTTACACACTGTTCTCTTAAAGTAAGGCTGCAACTTGTGATTTTTGTCATAATCATTTTTATGACTAATCAGTTAATTATTTAGTCTATAAAATGTCAAAAAAGTGAAAAATGTTCAGCACAGTGTCCTAGAGCCCAAAGTGACATCTTCAAATTAGGGCTGGGCGTTACAGAGAAAATAAAATATCACAATATTTTTGACAATATCACTTTTCACTCTGGTGGAAAATTCACTGTGTGCCAGTTTTTCTTTGATCTTTGCCAAACCTGTGCACACATGCATCTTGTTGATATCTCATACAATCATCTCTTTGTTTAGGTTTCTAACATCCAGTAATGTTATTATCTCTGTCCATAGGCCTGCTGCTGCACATCACTGACAACATTACTGTGTTGTCTATGATCTTGAAAGCACGTCATCATTTTTAGAGGCTGAATCTCCTAAATAACTCAACTTTTCTTCCACTATTTAACGTTAAAACGCAGCAACAACAATAGATTTCTCAAGTTAACTGCGATGTGTCTCTAGCAGAAGCAGTTGCCAAACAGAGGATTTACCAATGAATTGGGCAACAAAGTTGGCATCATCTCATCATTTAACACCGTTAAACACTGTACAAAAACAGGCCATCACACACACTTCCACCATCACACTCATGTAAACACCGCAGACTCACCTTTAGATTGATGGCAGGGATTTCCATGACAGGCTGTTTGGTGAAAGCAGCTGCTTCTTTATCCGCTTCACTGCTTCAACTTGTTGAGAGGGGCTACATGAAAAGCTGCCGCAGATTGTTTTACACAAACTTCTCCCTGAAACTCCACCTCCCTTCAGATCAGCCTGCAAACACAAACCATGTGACAGCAGCCTGACTGCCTCCCATGTGACTCTCACCTCCTCCCTCCTCCCTCCTCCTCCTCCTGCTCCCTCTCAGACCCAAAGAAACCACATGGGCATCAGCAGCGTCTCTCCAGTGGTTCACTATGAATGATCAGGAATGCAGTATGTATGCATTTTTTAAATGCTCAAACAGACATGCTGCATTCCTGATCATTCATATCTGCTCAGTTTGTCTAACAGATTATGATATAAATAATAAATAAAAGATTAGGATTTATTCAAAAGTTGTAGAGTCTATTTGGTATTTGTCGGTATAGTGAAATAACATGTCAGCAGCAGCATGATTTTAAGAGGTGTCAATGTGACTGATGTGAGCTTTTGATACATTTGCCAATATTGTTTGTGGAAGGTAAAATTTATGTTTTATATTCAAAACTTTAAATCTATGCAGTTAAACAGTCATCACCTCTTGAATGTGTATATTTATTTATTCAACATACAATCACATAACTGTTCATATTTCTAATGTTTACTCCTATTCTTGTTTTATTCTATTGATGTATATACACACTCACAGCCTCAGCACCATGACAATATATATTTTATTTTTAATATGTTTAAGTACTGGTGTTAAACACTGTAGCATAATGCACATTTTTATTTTTTATTTATGTATTCAATTTCTATTTCTAATGCACATTTTCATTTCTATTTAATTTAATTTAATTGCCTTATATTTACATACTTCTATTTCACACCTTTGTTCTTACTTCTTATAATTCTCTGTTCTTTTCTTTGGAGCGACTGTAACAAATCACAATTTTCTTTCAGGGATCAATAAATTATTTCTGATTCTGATCAACTAATATTGGAATTGACAAGTTGGAAAACTCTCTAAAACAATACTTAGACCTTGAAGGTCTTCATCATCTGTAGTATTAATAAAAATGTTTGAAATTGTTAAGCAGCTCCATAAAGGAACATTAGCCCTTAAAAGGTTAAAAGTTTAAATTCTGTCTACAGCGACACCAGCAGCTCTGTGAGGACTTTATTTCAGCACAGTGGTGTTTTGAGTTAAAAGTCAGTTGTAAAAGATTTATATGTGTATGCAGAAAAGGAATATGATATAATAAGTATGTTTTCTTTAGTGTAGTTTAGTAGAGTTAAGTATATTCATTCATTCATTTTCCGTAACCACGTATCTTGTTAGGGGTCGCGGAGGGGCTGGAGTCTATCCCAACTGACATTGGGCAAGAGGTGGGGAACACCCTGGACAGGTCACCAGACTATCCCAGGGCTGACACACAGAAACAGACAACCATTCACACCTACGGACAATTATGTGTCACCAGTTTAGAATCCAACTACTTAGAGGGACAGGTGGCATTCAGCCACACGAGACTGAGCAATAACAGGTCTGTGATGCCCTTAAATGTGCGGCGTGCCACACTGAGTAGATCAGCGTGTCTACCCTTCGCAGAGAGGCCTGGGTAACCTGCTGAACCCCACTTATCACTGATAGGTATTGGGGATTGCAATTAGTTCCCATGAATGAGGAATTCCCAGTAAGCGTGGATCATAAGCTCGCTTTGCCCTTTGTACACACCGCCCGTCGCTACTGATTGGATGGTTTAGTGAGATCATTGGATCGGCCATGGCAGAGCGCCGAGAAGATGACCAGACTTGACTATCTAGAGGAAGTAAAAGCTGTAACAAGGTTTTGAACCTGTTGAAGGATCATTTAATTAAACTTTTGAATTGATGATGACACTAAACGTGAAGTTAAGGGATCATGAAAGTAATTATAAGTAATTAAACAAAGCCTGCTACCTTTGTGGCACCTACTGAGGACCCAAAGAAAGAATGCAGATCTATCCTCTGGGGATCATGAATGTATGAGCACAATTTCATGGCAGTTAATATAGACTTATATTTTGCTTTGATGTTCTGTTCCATCAGACAGTAATTGAGGCAGTCATCCAACTTTTCTCCACAGTTGCCTCAACAGACATGGACTGTAGCCTAAGCCAAGACTAAGAGCCAAAAATTGCAGCTCCTCTAATGGCCACTTGAGGCTGGCTCCAGAAGTGAGTCAATTTCCATAGACACTCATATTAAAACTGCCAACTTTACAGCAGAAATAAACATGCTGATACAAAAAATGATTTTAATCTTGACAGCTAATTTCCCCCTTCATGACAACTGTATGGAGGGTGAATTTTTATGTAACTCAAACATTTACATTTTATTAAATTTAGACATAAGTAATTGTGGGCAACTTTGAGTGACAGGCTGTCTGCCGATAGTGTCCTCAGCTTCTCAGTCAGATCCACTCCTTGCTCTTCCACAGCTCCACCCTCTCACACAAATATGGTCACTTCTGGCTCCAAAAAGCCATGATGGTGAAGCCTGAAATGCCAAACTGGAGGCTTCAAAACAGGAGTCCACAAACCGATGGGTAAAGTCAAAGTACCTACTTGTATAATTTTTACAGTCTGAGGAATACACTGCCTGTAACTCCTCACACAAAAAAAGGAAAAGAAAGTGTGTTACCAAGAAAACCTTCTTCAGACAAATGTTTATGGAGAAGTCAGTGATCAGTTGTTAGTGAAAGTGAAGTTGGTTTAGGTCAGGGTTAGTAAAAACAGATTCAGCTCAAACATCAAATTAAATGTTGCAGTAAACATTTTGCTCTGCAGTCACAGTGCACCTCATCAGCTTGTCTGTGACATCCAGAAATGTAATTAGATTTTTTTTGTCCTTCCGTCCCTCAAACCCCTGTTCTACAGAAATATACTCTAACATCTGTTTTTACAACTTCCAGTTTATTTCCAAGGTCAAGAAGAAAGTTGCACACTCATATTCCTTCATCGACGCTACAGATAAACATTTCTACTTTCTCCTCTCACTTTTTAAATGTACAAAATTATGAAACATTTGTCACCACTGGTTCTGCAACTGACATTCACCCTCCTCGCTATTGAATGTCTGAAATTGTCAGTATCTGGATTTAAAGCCCATTTGACCCTTGGACTCACTGGAATTACGGCGGATGAGCGAAGCAGCTAAATCTTAAAAATGCTACAGTAATGTGAGATGCCCTCGTTGTGATTAGAGTCCGACTCCTTCCTTTGTGCTTCTTATACTTTACAGGAGGTGATCTATTGTGTGTGTCGAGCATGGCAGATGGCCCCGACACCCCCGGATCCAGTGTGAACCCTGACCTCCTGCTGACCTCTGACCCCCTGATTCAAGCTTTGCCTGCATGATTGGGGCATTGATTGAGTGCCCAGTGGGTTTATGCGTGTCAAAATGAGATTGCGGTGTGACAAATTTGTGACATGTTATTTAATTTGAAGTGTAATATCTTTAACCATCAGAGGAGAAGCAATTCTTGGAGCAGCTGATGTGCTTAACTGCAAATGAATGATCCCTTTTACGTCCTGACCTGCTGTGACGGTGAATGACAGAGAGTGTAAGTGTAATGCGTGAGCACATCATCTTTCACACTTCATTTTTACACATTTTTATTTTCAGTCCCGCTCATTAAATGATTTATGGTCTGTTTTATTGTTCAGAGAGAACTTCCTGCAGCTCTGTTTACTCATATGTAAATTGTTGTCACTGTTGCACCTGTGTCCTTCCCAGAGTTCCTTGATCTTGAGAAGTTGCCTTAAGATAGCAACTTTTGGTAATTAATGACTTGACGAAATCCTTAAGAAAGGTAGAAGTGCCTTTGTGGGTGTTGGTGATGTGAAGCTACAGCTCTGCCGGGACGTGGCTCTGTGTAATCTATCACTCGGCTGGCTGTTGGCCAGGTTTCAACAGGGCACTCCACCGGAGCACTCTGTCAGAGGTAACTATTAAATATACATCAGTACTGCTTTTATTCTGTAGCCGTAAATCAGGATGGCACAATCACAGTCCGACTGAGCCGGTGGTTGGGAAAGAAAAACGAGTGTTACTTTCTCCACCTGATCAAATATTGATAGATTCTCAGGGAGTGTGTGTGTGTGTTCGGATCAGAGACACGCTGAGTGTTATTGCTTGCACTTGCTCTAATGTGTCGTAAGCTTCGCGTTAAAAGGTTTTGACACAGTTCAGGGGAGTTTGGAGATAATGAGCTTCAAAGATTTGCAGCGCTCATTTTATCACATTGAGATGGATGGTGCCTCATTACTGACTCATTACTTATGTGTTTGGATTATGTGACAAAATCAGTCATGTTTTTTATTCCTCTGAAGCAGCTCAAAGAATATTTTTTCTCTTTCTCAAAGGAAACAAGACATTAAAGCTCTCACCCTTCTTCAGATCATCCCAATGCTCATTTACCTGCTGAGTCAGCCACATGCTCTGACTCAGTTCTTGAAGATAATTAATTATCTTGGTGCTTTACTTAAGTGCAATTTTTATATAACTGAACTTTATTTCTTTTTTATGTAACTTTATACATACGGTCATCATTACAGCCACGCTACTGTACATACACTCACATGTACTATACACCAAACCTGACAAAAAGCGTCGACCTGGCCTCCAAATTCCCCAGATCCCAATCTGATTAAGCATCCATTGGATGCGTACTTCACCTCCCAACCCACAGGACACCCCAGAGATCCTGTGTCCATGCCTCATCAGGTCAGAGCCAAATCTGATCCAAGGAAGCCTCACCGTGGATCGGCCTTGGCTCTGGTGTACTGGCATGTTCTAGTAATGACTGATCAGATTGGGATTTTGGGAATTTGTTTGCTGATTTGATGCATTCAGCTCTTTGTCACTTTCGCTGGGCCATTCCTGAACAGTTTTTGCGGAGTGACATGGCACATTGTCCTGTTGGGGACATTGCCATGAGGTGGGTACTTGATCTGGAAGGATATTTGGGTAGGTGGTGTGTGTCAAGTGGCATCCGCATAAATGCAGGACTCAAGGTTTCTCAGCAGAGCAATGCATCATAATAAAATGATCAATGTTATTCATGACACTTGTCAGTGGTTTAATGTCTTGGCTGATATGTTCTTAAGTCCAATACTTATTCATACTATGTCCACCTGCAGTGTATTCATATTTATACTACTTATACTTAATATATCTTATATCTTAAGTTTCAAAGATACAAAACGTCCTGTCTTCCTATCTCAGACCTCCAATCTTAACTCAAGAAACCCTAATTGTACTGTAACTGTTAATTTGATTCTTCAGTCTGCACTTGTCCTGTCATGTCTGTATCTTTGATGACAATGTACTGGCAGGCTACTCCAGATGGGCAAGACAGTTATAACTTGTCATCAGCTAGTTTGCTGTCATGGACAAAAAAAAAGATGAATGTCCAGCTTTAGCGATGAGTCTGAGGCACTACTAGAGTCAATGGAGGAAAGGAAACCTCCTCAGGAAACATGTCATTGCCATAAAAACCTACCAACAGTGCTGCTGCCAATTTTGGCAGTTACTTGGAATTTAGGACAGAGTCTAAGCCGTCCTAATTTAGAATTGCTAACTTGGGAAATCTCCAAATTAGGGTGGCTCTGTAATAGCTGAATTCCTATCCTATGATAAAATAGTTTTGTTTTGTTTTTCAAAGCAATTTTTTTGGCCTTTTGTCTTTATTTGATAGGACAGATATAGTGTGAAAGGGGCAGAGAGGGGAGATAACATGCATCAAAGGGCCATGGGTTGGAATGAAGCCCGTGGCTGCTGCAGCAGGGACGCAGTCTTTGTACACCCCAGTTTTTTTTTTGTGTTGTTGTTGTTTTTGTAATGCAGTCAGGAAACATGTTTCTGTAACACCAAAACTGCTGTCTCACCTTGTTTTTTAGAGGGACGTGACTATATTTGAAAGCTAAAGTTACATTTTAGATGAAAATGTATATGAAAAACACATATGATATGCTTAAAAGATACGGTGCATTGACACTGGCCTCTTCATGAGTTGTTAAATTTCCTCTCTTCAGATGTTTCCATTTAAATACCTGTTCCAAGCCCAAAGTGGTAAAACAATCCACTGTTTCAAAACACGAGCAAAGATTAGACAAAAGTCCGAAAACTAACTAAATAAAAATGCGCAAATGAACTTTTGTTTTTTGTTTTTCTTATTCTAATCTCATGTATCAACTCATGACCTCCAAGATTTAACTTGTGACTTCTGACGAGGCCTGACCACTTGAAGATATAAAAGTAGTTTCCACCTCAAGCAGCGTGCTGTATGTAGACATGGTCAAGACGACCTGCTGAAGTTCAAACTGAGTATCAGAACGGGAAGAAAGGTGATTTAAGTGACTTTAAATGTGGCATGGTTGTTTGTGCCAGAGGTCAGAGGAGAATGGCCAGACTGGCTCAAGATGATAGAAAGGCAACAGTGACTCAAATAACCACTGGTTACAACCAAGGTCTGCAGAAGACCATCTCTGAACCAACAACATGTCCAACCTTGAAGCAGATGGGCTACAGCAGCAGAAGACCACACCAGGTGCCACTCCTGTCAGCTAACAACAGGAAACTGAGGCTACAGTTCACACAGGCTCACCAAAACTGGACAATAGAAGATTGGAAAAATGTTTCCTGGTCTGATGAGTCTGGATTTCTGCTGCTACATTCAGATGGTAGTGTCAGAATTTGGTGTAAACAACATGAAAGCATGGATCCATCCTGCCTTGTATCAACAGTTCAGGCTGCTGGTGGTGGTGTAATGGTGTGGGGTATATTTTCTTGGCACACTTTGGGCCCCTTGGTACCAACTGAGCATGGTTTTAACACCACAGCCTACCTGAGTATTGTTGCTGACTGTGTCCATCCCTTTACGACCACAGTGTACCCATCTTTGAGTGCATGCTAATGCCTGATATAGATGAAGCGCGATGTTACAAATAAAGGCAGGTTTACACCACAAAATGTTTATCCTAGTAAGTGTTTAATCATGAAAACAAAAAAGACAGAAAACACAATATCTGGACGACCATGTGTTGAAGTACGGTATAAATAAAACATATATTAAGACATGTAAAAGGAAGGTCAAACAAGCATCTTTGTTTATCTTCTACTGTTAAGTACATTTGAAGAGAAGTGGCGTCAATTTAACAAAAATCGTTTCAAACACGTTCTTATTTACAATACAGGACGGCAGACTGGGTTCAAATAATATTTATAAACCATTTTCAGCATTTGTTTGAAGAGTGAGTGAGCCAAGGAACAAAACATAGCAGAGAGTTCACACAGAAACTATTTCAGCATCACCTCTGTGAATGACAGCTTACTCGACTCAATTTAAATGTTCCTGAACCAATAAAAATCATCCATTTGGGACTCCGAGCACAGGAATGCAATAATACAAAATGATTTGTAAACATTGTTTGACTCAGATCAGCAGGACAGAGACAATAAGATGCAGGAAAAACCGTGAGAGACATTTGAAAAAGCAGTTTTCAAAACTCATAAAATCTGCTGTTGCTCAAAATGAAACCATAACTGTGGTGAATATTAACTCATAAACCAGGAGATTTTTACAGATTTCACTCAGCGATGTGTTGCCAGCCAAGTGAATCTTTTATACCAATTTAAAACAAATAAAAAACGTTGCTGAGCAAGTTTTGAAAAGCCCCTCGTCATGATGTGTTTAAAAACTTGTACATTCTGTAGTGATGCAGTGATATAAAGACTGAAATCAAACTGATGTATGGGTTTAACTGAATTAAAGAAGTGCTTAAAGGTGCCGATTTGCTGGATTAGAACTTGTGTCTCATCCCACAATGCAACAGTCAAACACTATATCCAGTTAAGTCAACTGACCAGATGTTTCACACTGTGGCATCGATTTAATAAACCAGCAAGCCGTCACCTTTCAGCACTTGGTGGCGTGTTAGCAGTGTCATGTGATGTGTTGGCTTAAACTATCTGTCAAAGTGGTCATGGGGACATTTTTCCTGCTCCTCTTCCTTCACGCTCCTCCATCGTGTCCTCCTTGTCTTGCTCAGATAGTGATGAAGCCTCCTTGGTCACTGCTGACTGACTCTGGCACCACGCAGCGACCCCTCCTCCTGGTCACACGCCGCTTCCGGTGGAATTTAGCGTAACAACGAAACCCTGAAAAATCAGACACAACTTGTTATCTGCATAGTTAAAACTGATAGGTGTGGATGTGCTGTGAGCAGGGTGGCTAATTTACAGGAATATTCAAGGTGAAAACTTGGATAAATGGGAATTAAGTAAGAAGATTAAGTAAAAAAAGAACAGGATTTGGCTTTTAATCTTATGGGCCGTGAACACCACTCTCCTCCACTCTCCAACACTCTCCAAAGTCAGTGTTGATTGGACCCATCAACCACCGCTCCCACCCACCCTACTTGGACTTTCGCCGGCTTAACTTTCCTTCTTTTCCCCCGACGCTGCCAAATGCCGTTAAACTTTAACGGTGACTGGCTGCATATCATGCCGACGTTAAAGGATGGCTTTTTTGTCAGTGTCTGTCTAAATGCGAATATTCTGGCTGTACTATTGTTCTCGGTGAGATCAGTATGTTATATGACCATTAATCCTTAGTCTCTGTGACATATTAGGATGATTTTATGACTGTTTGCTTTAGATTTCTTACATATAGCTCCTTTAATGCCCTTATGTCTTCAAACGAGATGATAATAAAGTCGCAGTGTCTTCAAATGAGTACTTCCTAATTGACAGTGTCTCAGCTTGTTACTGCTGGTCAAATTTGTTGCCATATTAAACTTCAAACATTATTAATCATAAATAAACAAGTTTCAGCCATGAAATGTGATCAGGTTTTGGCCCTTGTCCACTTCTGTGTTGGGATCTGCTGCAGCCTGACTTGGCAGAGAGGTGCTTGTTTTTACATGGATCAGTGTATTGTGCTCTTACTGCCTCTAGATGCACAAAAAATGTCCACTAACGAGGACAATGGGTCTAATTTAAGTAGAAAAAAGTATAAGGTCAAGCAAACCCAAAATGTGATGAGGACACAGGGTCTCGGGAGGGTATAGATGCTAAAAGTACCACCAAGTGGAGTATCCCTTTAAAATGAAAGCTTTACATGTATGGGATACCTGCATATTCATTCTGTGGCTGAGAGTCACTCTCATGTCTGTCTTGTAAATATGTAGCTGGAGCTGGTTAGCTTAGCTTGGCACACAGACTGGAAACAGCGGGAAACAGTTTAGTCTGGTTCTGTCTAAACGTGACAAAGCTCACTAATTAACAAATGATATCTTGTTTGTTTTATCTGCACAGAAACTAAAGTGTGAAAATGATCTGTAACTTCCTGGAGTCTCTGTTGGTTGCCTGGCAACTGCTCCGAACATTAACTGGCTGCTGACAGATACAAGAGTGTTACCAATCTTCTCATCTAACTCAACACCACAGAATAAATAAGCCTATTTCCCAAAAATGTCAAACTATTCCTTAAAGCAGTGACCCATGTCTTCTGATACTCTACTGTTAACACTGTGATACATCATACAACAGACATTTGGACTCAGAGCAGGAGAAGCACAGCTGAAACCAGTAAGTGCCCCAGTATTATTCCACTGAGCCAGCATGGATAACACCAGGGCCTTCCCTAAGTGGAAAACAGCCAGCATTAATGGTATTAAATACACCTTTTCCTACAGTGACATGTCAAAATGTCTGCAGTGAGAAAGGTTTATATATATACACAACACTGTAATGAAGTCACAACTCCAGCCATCTCCTAATCACACAATTACTGACCTCCCCCGCTCGCCTCTCACACACCTGCTGCCACTTTCCCTCATCACTTTCCCTGCAGTATAAATACCGGCCTGTTTCCACTCAGTCCAGGGGCCTGTATCACGAAGCAGGATTAATGTCTTAGCGAGGTAACTTTAGGGTTAACTCTGGGTTTTCTGTCTCACTAAGCCGGTTCAGTTCTTGCTGTGGTAGATCACCATGGTAACTTACTCTGAACGGCTATCCTGCTCCGGAGCAGGGTAAGTTCAGGGTTGAATCTGGTCCTATAAAAAGCACCACCCACTGGCCAATCAGCTGTTCGGAAAAAAATGACTCCGCTGACAGAAATGCAGCCCAGTCATGATGGGAAGTTTAATTCATTTGATTGATTTTGATTTGAAAGTTTATTTTGAACATTAAAAAAGAAAAGAAAGCAACAACAACAGACAATGAAAAGATTGTTCAAAAAGGAGTGGAAAGAAGTCGAAATGTCATAAGAAAGAAACTGATCACTTGCGGACACTTAATAGCACCATTAATTAGTGCCAACATTTTGTTTTGTTGGAGGAAATGATCCCTGTTAAAGATAATGGGCCTAATTGACAGCTTTGCTGCTGGAAATGTGGAAAGTAGCCTATCATGTCTACACTTGATGGTGTTTGAGGGATTTTCCTTCTTGTTTTTTAAAGAGGGAGACTAGGTATATTTTTGCGCAGCTGTTAATTTCTAACACAGCTCAATATCAGGATGATTTTATTCAGACTATCAATTTGGTGTTGATATGATTTAATTGTGGCGTCAGCTTTAAGCTTTATTGTAGCATATATAACGTTATGACAAAGAAGACCAATTTATCAGACGCAATGATGTTAGACGATAATTGTAATACATGCAATTCATCTGCGCAGCATTGATTTCATGGGATTCAAGGGTGTGATCAGTGTCAGATGTACAGGTACAGGTACTGTAGCTACTTGAACCAGTGATGAGTTATTTAACCTACACATCATTTTATTTGCTACCTTGATTTGTCTTGATTTTTCCCTCTCTCCTCCTCTATTTCTTCTTTCCTTACCCGTTTTTTTTCTTCTCTATTAGCTATGTGATTTCATTGATGTTTTGACAGGGGAATTTCTTTGATAAGCTTTTAGTGGCTTCTAACCTCTCCGGCACTTTTCTTTTTTTTTAATCTTGTAAATGTTATACTGTCTGTTTTTAACATTATGTGCAAATAAACTAATCTAAACTAAAACTAAACATTATTCATCCCGTTATGCGTTGCCACGTATGTTTCCTCCTCCTGCAGCTGCCACGGTGTTGGCCTTTTCTGTAATGTTGCTTTTCTCCTCCTCATATTTTAGTAGAATTAATCTCTGATCCTCACGAGAAATACTGTTTTTTCCCCTCACATACGGCGCTCTGTGAGGATGCTCAGTGACGCTGCTCTTCTCTCATGATTGTGATTGGTCTGCTGCGTTCACAACTCTTGATAAAGCAACCCTGGGTTGAGTTACCGAGTTAATATCCAGCATCGTGATACCGATTATCCTGATAGCCATTGTTAGGGTTAGTCAACCCACGATAGGTCTGGGTAACCCAGGAAAGGTTGATCTCGCTTCGTGATACAGGCCCCAGTTTTGCCTGCCTGCCTGTTTTTGTTTCATTTTGAAAGCAAGCCTTTACCTGTCGTGTTTGTCTCTGAGTCAAATGGGTTCAAACCTCTTTCTCTCCTGAGCCGTAACAATCAGTTTGACCATGTCCTCCTCACTCACCTTCCTCACACATGCAGTCATCGTAGCATTTGTTGTTGAGGCCTCTGTTGTGAGGTTTGCACTCGTGTTGTCTCAAGTCACAACAAGAACCTTTAACAGAACAAACACATGATATTCAGCAACCAAAGACTTCACGTTGTGTAAGTCAAAGCTTCTACAAGAAACTGCATGATCCTAATTATCATCTTAAAGGACCTGAATACTTAATTTCTCAATCTGCTTCTTACTATGAGAGATAAGGTCCTAAAAGAAGACAAAATAATCTGCCAAAGTTAGAACAGTTTTGGTTGTTTCACGTTAAAGTATTTCTGTTTTTGTGTTTTTCTCATTGGCAGATCTAGGTTGAAAAACATGATGTCACAAGTTTGTATTAATCAGTCAGGGCCCTATTTCAGAGAGCAGGAACATCAAACTGAGCCTAATCCCCATCTCCGATTTGACTGAGCTTGAGTTGAGAAACTCTGAGTTTCCGGTTCCAGAACAGCTGATCAGAATTAGCTCAACGGTGTCTACGGTGAGCACCATCAATTGAGTGCAGGTGACATGATTTTCAGTGGCAGAAAGTGGAGTTAAAAGTTGAGCCACTTATTTTACCCCAACCGAATTGGAGATTTTTAATGACTGTGTATGTGGACTTTGAACATGTCCTCAAAAAAAAAAAAAAAAAAAATCGAATACGGCAGCTGCAGCTAAACAGTGAGGTGGCATGGAAAGATCGTAGGTAATGTTAAGTGACGTTACGTAATGTGATGCGCTAATGCGTGTCTAATATATAGAAAATATAGAGCCATTTTTATATATTAACAATGTCCATATATTTTTAGATCATTAGTATCTTCTAATTCAGCTGAATTGCCGAAGAATCGAAGGGCAATGCATAAAACTTGCTCTGATCATGCAAATACACGATGTATAATATTTGATGTATGGTGGAGACTATTCCTGCTTTCTGAAATAGGGCCCAAGATTTAGCAATGTTTGAATCAAAGTCTGATGGTAGTTGCAGGGTTGTTTGGTTATGTAGCAAATAAGTCAATTTTTTTGAGTGTTAAATAACATGTCAGGGTGTTTTTCTCAGAACTTCAACCTTTGAAAAGTGTTCATGGCCCTTAAATCACAAATGCCTCATTGCCACTGCACGGCACAACTCGACTCACTTGACTGCTGTTTTTTGGTTGTCCATCAGCAAAAGTTGTGGGTGGTGCCTGATACTGATACCACCTTGGTTGAGGTTCAAGTGAACTGACACGATTCTAGAAGGTTGAGTTAAAACACTGCGGACCACTGATTGGTCAGAGAGGATCGTTACTATCGAGACATGGGACATCCTGCACAAACCCGACATTTATAGATGGTCAAGTCAATAGCAACAGCATTTTTTTAAATTCACTCTAACCATTCTGTTGTTGGGTATATAATGTGACATATGATACACAGGTTGTTGTCAATTATTGAGTAGGGCTGCAACTAACGATTATTTTCACTGTTGATTAATGTGTCTTATTTGTTCAATTAGTCGACTAATTATTTTATCAAAAAATGTGTTGAAATGTTGAAAAATGTCGGTCTGTCTCTCCCAGACTCCAACATTACGTCATCTAATGTCTTGTTTCATTCTCACACCAAAGGGTTTTAGTTCACCGTCATGGGAGAGTGTGTAAAGCTGCCAATATTTGAACGTAAGAAGCTGCAATAAGAGTATTTTGGGGTACTTTTATAGTATTTTTCTATGAAAAATGACTCAAACTGATTAGACGACTACTAAAATAGTCACCGATTATTTTAATAGTTGATTAGTCATCGATTAGTCGACTAATCGTTGCAGCCCTAATTGAGAGACACACCCACAGCTGATTAAGTCCCCCATACCTGTGCATATGAAATGAGTGGAGCAGTATCTATTAAAAATCAAAAAGACCAAAAATGGTGTTGAACACTCCAGACAAAGGTCCAGTAGGATCAAAATGTTAGTGTAACTAATAAATTGTGAAGCTGAGCAAGAACAGTGTGCCAGATTTTCTGTTCAGCGACTCAATTAATATTTCCAAAGCATCTGCACCTGAGACAGTTGGATGTATAAATATCTCTCTTTAAAAAAAAAAAAAGCCTGAAAAACCATTCTATGGTCAGCTGATGATGTGCAGATGTTCCTCTGTTTGGTTGCGGATGAACTGATCAAGCAAGAGCTGGATGGAGCGACATTTGTTGTGTTGTGTTAAAGATGATGGCATGGCAGTTTCATGTGGTGTTACTAAAATAATCAGTTAAGAATCCCACCTGCATTGGGGTATTGTCTGCAGCTGTAAACAAAATCTAGAAAAGCACCTGGTACCAAAGTCAGTCGAGAAGAGTTGAACCGTGCAGTAGGAATGAGGCAAAGGAGGACCACAAACCATATTCTGTCAACTTATCCCTGAGTTATATAAATATTTTAGTGAATAAGCCCTTTTGTATCTGGGAGCATCAGAGAGTGTTACTATGGTCAGGATCGACTTGTATGATGCAGACTGACCTGGGAGGCAGTCCAGGTGGTGGTCACATGGCTCGATGGCGTCAGCGTCTACAGTCACATTTCCACTGCTGAGGTTCTTACTCCGCCTCTTGTCTGCAGCAGGAACAAAAATAAATGAACACAACAGTTTGATCCTGAAAACGTCTGCTCAATACACAGCCACAGCCAAACAGATCAATCAGTTGGTCACTCAGTATCAACATAATGCTTTTGTATCAGGTATTTTCTGGTGAAGCCATTACTGTTTGTGCAAGTTTTTAATTTGATTCATACATAATGATTTCAACACAGGTCAGATATGGGTCAGCTGACAATCCCCAAAATGTGAAATACACTGAATGTTTACTAATTATAGCAGGGAGCAATGATCTGATGACAGAAATCGCAAAAAGTGAAAATCTAGTCAAGTTCTAATCAAAAACTCACACTGGTCACACTAACGTTGGATAGTGCAGTAGTCACTGGCTACTCAGCTTCCTATAAAGTGACTGTAATGTGTGAATAAAAAGCCGAATTAATTTAAATACTCACAGTTGCACTTTAAGTAGTTTAGATATTGAATGTCTGTGTTTGGTTTTCAATAAAGTGTCACTTATGTAGTTTTTATGTTGTGTTCACACCAGGCATGAATAAAACAATTTGTGCGGCTGAATTACATGTCAATGCGAAGACGTGATTAGACACAATGAATGCAACACGAATGACTCGAATCAAGCTAATGACGTGGCGCTAGTAAAGCAAGGAGCGTGACTTCGCGTTATATGCTTTATCACAAAAGTTGACCAATTTGCACCGCGATAGCCAATCAGCATTGAGACCGTTGGGATTAAGACTTGAGACTGGATGGATTGCTGTGAAATTTGGCACAGACATTCATGGATGCATTACAACAAGTCATAATAACTTTGACCCCTTGATCTTTATCTAGTACCACCATGAGGTCAAACCTTGCCCAATATCATGTTTATGACCAAATACCTGAAAAGTAATGACATTCCCATCAGCCTCAGCTGCACTTAAGAATGTTAACATGCTAAACCGAGATAGTGATCAAAGATTATACCTGCTAAACAAACACGCTAGCATTGTCTTTATAATAATAAGCATTTATCTTAAAGGGACAGTTCAACCAGTGTGCATCTACTCATGGACGAGTGGCTCAGCTCATGACACTGTGTCCTCCTGTGACCATAGCTACCTCAGTGGTGCTAGATGCACGCTTCCCTCTGTACTTTGATGTAGTCGGGAATTGTAGTTTGGTAGAAAGAAAAATAGTTCCTATATGAAACTGCTCACAACATGGTCTGCGGGTTATCTTGAGTAACCTGGTCATGATTTCTGGAAAGAAAAAAAATCTTTGGGCTGAACTGTCCCTTTAAATATAATAAAATAATCTGATACAAGAGAGATTTAGGTGTGATTTGGATTATTTCCACCAAATCAAATCAGAGCCTTTAATGATCACAGATTCACAGTTACAGCTGAACACTAACCTTTCTTCCTGGAGGACGGCCAGGTGTCCACAGGTTTCATGTCCTCATAGTCTGTCCAATCGAATAGCGCCATGTCCAATGTTGGCATCACCTCTCCTTGTCCTTTTCCTCTTCCGGACCTCTGGAAAAAAAAAAAAAAAAAGACGACACCTTACATTTTATAACTGTTATTTCATCTACATTTCAGCTGGGACATTTGCACACTGGATTAACTCATGTTCTCCATAAGAAATCCAAACAGAAGAGAACAAACACGCCAATATGCAGATCTGTAACACCTAATCCCATCTTCAATTAGTTTCAGCATGCTGTGTAATTTCTGCTTCCATAGTAATATTTGAAATATCATCTTTATTTATGTATTCAAAGACAATTGTGATCAGAATATGAAGATGTGTATTAAAAACTAATCCTAAATGTGAAGCAATCCGGCGTACGAGCTGCTGTAGAGAATACATTGAAGAGATCAATCCTGTCTCTTCAGATTGATGTTCACATACTACAGTTACATCACAGCAGCTCAACAGATGACTATGTTTTGATTTGTTGACTGTGTTTTCTGTCAGGACTGCAGGTAAACACGTTCAGGGTGTTCCTAATGAAACACATCGGACTCGTGTTGTGACGAGTTGCAGTAATGCTTCATTGATTGATTCATAAAACACGCTCACAGTGAACAGAGACAGAGGCAGAGCTTTAAAAGAAAATCGATTGGTAACAGAGAACATGACTGCCCACAGCCTGGAATACAAATATATTTATATATCACATCATTTGTATTGTTGATACATATACAATATACAGACTTGAACATACACTTCATTACACATAACCACAGGGTTTATTTTTCTCCAGTGAAGGCGGCAGGAAACTAATGCAGCCTGCAAGTGATCCTGGGTGGACATTTTATTATTCATGTATCGTCTATGTGATTTTATGTTAAATAAATTTCTGAGTCAAGTCATCTTCTAGTTTTAGTGAGAGATTCACAGCATTGTTCACCATATCCTCATATAACAGTTCATATAATATCCTACGAATCAGCGCCCCACAAACAACGTTACATACCTGATATAATGTTTGTATATATGGTTTTGTGCACATGTGTGCTAAAGCCTGTGCCCAGAGCTTGTGTGTGTATGGATATATTTATGTGTGTGCCTATTTGTGTGGATGCATGTACATATTCATACACACTCATGTATTTCTTTTAGTACTTTGTTTCAACACTTTATTATTTACAGATACCTCATTGTTTATACTGCTCCATTTAAAGTGAGCATAGCATTAGTTTTGCAACCCACCTCCACCCCAGCTCCTCCTTTTCATACTGTCTACTGTTTGTTTGTTGTCTTTGCTGCTGCTCTTCCTGCCTTAGGCTTTCCATGGAGGCACATGGAAGGGCAGACAGGTTTGCTCTCTCTGCTTTAGGCATTCTGCGTAGGCCTAGGAAAGGCAGAGGGGCCCCAGAACAGAGCCACACCGCTAAATATAATACTGCAAATGGAAATAAAGTTTTCTTTGATTAAAGTGTTCCTGACTGAACTGTCTTTAATGTCTTTTGAAGTACTTTGTAACATCTATCCATTTTTAAAAGTGCTACATAAATAAATTTATTTTAAAACGTCATTACTTCCAAGAAGGTACATAATTGAAAGTTTAGACAAAGTTTTATTAAGTTTAGACACTATCCACCACCACAACCACACTGCCTATACTTTCAGGACTTCTCAGGACTGCTTCCTTTTTGACTCTCGTCAGCGCAATGGTCACATGATTGCAGGCTTCCCAATTAATGATTATACACAAATTACTGGCTCATGATTAGGTGGGATATGTACAAATTTGGTACATTACTTTTTATAGGAAAATGTAAGAACAGTGCATGAGAGCAGCCTGCATTGTTGGGAAAAGGTACTTTAAAAAGAAACTTCTTACTTTAATTCAACTCAATTCAATTTTGCACGACATCCCTCTGTCCTTGGACCCTCACAGCAGGTACTAAGACCACTTACCCCTTTAAAAAGGGGAAAAAATTGTATAAACCTCAGGAAGAGCAACTGAGGAGGGATTCCTCTTCCAGGACGGACAGAAATGCAGAAGATGTTGTGTGTACAGAACAGATCAACATAATAAAATTACAATAATCCATATGACAAATATAAACTACTTCAAGATGTTACCTCCCTTTAAAAGTCAGTAGTTAACAAGATTTCTGTCTTGGCCAGGCTGTGCCTCTCCCTCATAGTGTTTTCTGCAGTTTCTACTGTTTGGCGTGGCACTCCATTTCCCTCCTGCTGCCAATCTACCTGCACACCTGCAACTGATCCACTCATTATGCTCCTGTAGTGCTGATATACCACAGTTCTACGCTTCACTCTTCAGATCATTCAGTTTGCCTACATGGTCCATTGTTTCCTGTGATCTCTGCCTGATTCACCCACTATCTCATCAGTCTGCTTCCCAGCCAACAACCCCGCTCACTCAGGCTGCCCTGCTGCTCCACAAACTCTGGCTCAGCACTCCTAAACCCTCACCTCACCTACTACTAAAATCAGGGTTCCCACACCTTCTTGAAAATCCAATCCAGGCATGTTCCAGGCTGAATTCCCTTAAATTAAAGGACCCAACACTGGAGCTGCACATTTCGTGGAAATATTATCTAAATGACCAAGTGCTGCAATTTTTTGAAAAAGGTAAAATGCAGGTTTTGCAGCTGTGAACTCAGCAATATGTTGCTTCAGTCAACTACATTTACTGTCAGCACTGATTAGACGTCCACATAAAAGTTAGTGAATTCTCCTTTTAATGAAAGATCCTGTTAATGGTTGAAAGAAACCACCGTGACTGTTGGTAGGATACAGGATACAAACTGCGCTCTCTGAAGTCACTCTGTACTTCTTTTAAGAGCCACACACTTTAAGAAGTTAAAAGAAAAACTTTATTCTGAGACATCTAAAGCTAATGAAGATATTTTTGTTCCTCAGAGAACACACAACTGACCTTTCCTCTTGCGCAAAACTTTGTCTGAAATGCCAGAACGCCACGGTGGATATCACATCATGAAAAAAGGCAGATTGTTGAGAACATTCAGGCTCCCAAGAGGAGAAACTTTAAATTAAAATACTGCACAGTGATCTGACTACTCTAACATTTTGTATCAATCATACTTATATTCATATATTTTTATTTATTTTATGTTCAAGATGCTGCTTCTTGTGTGTACTTTTCTGTAGCAGTAGGGATGGGAAAATGAAATCATAATGAACAGTTTAAAGTTTAGCTTGCTCCCTGAATACTTAATGTCAGCAGTAGGATACCTTTGCACTTATCCATAAATTCATATAAAAGTAGGAGTGTCATAAATCCAAATATTCTACCTCAGTAAAATATTGTCACTGAGATGAGTGTTTGATGACTTTGCTATAAAACAAAACTCCTTTGTGGTTTGCTCATGCATAAACTTCTGCAATAAAAGCCATAAAAACGCTACCTCTGTCACTTTCCTAACACAGAGGGAGCAAAACAGAAATGTTAGACATATAATTAATTAAGCAGGACTTTGAGACGTCTCTGGGGGAAAACCCGGTCCATGAAAGACATCCATCATAAAATAAGAATCAACCTCTTGATGAAAACAGATCCATACTCTCACCCTCAGTAAATAAGCCTATATGGAAATATCAATTAGATTAATTGCAGGGGGCTATCTGCCTGTGCTCGGCTACTCATTAAACCATCAACAGAGGATCGAACATTAATTAAGAAGCCTTGCCGCATGCTCGCGCCACTGAAGCAAGGCTCAGGAAAGGGTTTTTTTTCCCTTCTGTGGTCCAATAATGTTTGACTCCTCTTATAGTAAAGACACACTGCTGAACTCTCAGTCATTTTGTAAGCAGAAAACCAAGCACACCTACAGGCCAGTCTGCAGACATTTAACACACACACTGACCAGGGGAGTGATCACACGGAGCCACCATCTGAAAATCTGAATGTTGCAAGAAATTTGTATTTTTTCTAAACTGGGGAGTCTCCTTACCAGTAAATAGATGGCACTGGTTATTTGATTAATCATCTAAAATAACATTTGATCTGGGCAAAGCTTGAGACAGAGAGAGCACACCTCTCTGCCCTTCTACATGCAAAAAAAGGAAAGCCTGAGACAGAGGGAGCAAACCTCCCTGCCCTTCCATGTGCCTATGAGGAAAGTCTAAGGCAGGGAGAGCAGCAGCAAAGACCCCCCAGGAGCAAAACAGAGCAAGCACCAGTGACAAACAGAAATGACATCGATAAGTCAGACACAGCATGAAAAGGAGGAGCTGGGGTGGAGGTGGGTTGCAAAGTTGCTTGCACAGGAAGCAGCAACAGTAGGCAGGCCAGAGCAGTTTCAATAGGGCGCCCTGAATAAGATTCACCAATTGGTTGCTTATAAAGCAATCATATGATCTATCAGCTGACTCCCTTCATCAGTCAGCAGCTCCATCAGTTGATTGAGCTGTTTGAGATCAGCTGATGGAGCTGGGATGTTAGCTGAGCTGGACATCGTCTCCTGCCTGAACTAACGCTATGCTCAATATTTTCCTAAAAATCTGTGGTGGAACTGGGATGACATACATAGATATAGGACTGAAAAACTTCAAGAAAGCTGGGTGGACAAAGAGTTTGATTTCACATTCGATCTACTACCAACAATCCACGGTGATTCCCTAATCAAAAAGTCCTATACAAGTTTCATTTTTTTCCAATAGAACCCTTAAGATTCTCATAAATTTCCAAAAATCCTATCGCACCACAACCACGGTCAATGACCTCCTCAGACCCTCTCGCTCCTTCTCCTACATTATTGCTGTGGAAAATCTAGTTATTTGAAAGCGTGGTGCACATTACACAGAGTCTGTAAGGTGCCTTGTACATTTGTAACTGAACCAGTGGGCCAGTGACCAGGCTGCCGTTTTTGACGCCAGGGGAATGAGAATGAGGGTGAGGAGGCAGATCAGAAACTTTCAAACAATGTTATTTTGCAGATGGGAACGTCAGAGCAGAAAACACTCATAAGAGTTGTTTTGGATGGCAATGACAAATGAAGTATTTCCTCATTTAAGTTGGAGGATTTGTTGAGAGTTACCACTTCCTTGTCTGTGTTACTGGAAAACCATAGAGGAGGGCCCCTAATGTGTGGGAACAAAAAACGATTTTGTGGCAACAGTTTGTGCGAAATCAGCAAAACTACAAACCACAAGAAGACTTGCTAAAAATGCAGATGATGCAAGTGAACATTTTGTTTCTTCGTCACGTCACCTCATAATGGAAATATGATGAGGTAGAGCCCCAAAGCCCACATTACACTAAACAAGAAATTTAGACCATAGCTCTGAGAGTGAAGACAAACATTTTTCCCATGTTTTTGTGACTAATGGGAAAAACATTTTTTGAAAAGGGTCCAGTATTGAGAGAGCGCTGCAGCCAGCAATGTAACCACTCAGGGCGTGTTCACACCGTCAATTTATGTCCGCTAAGGTGTTTATTTTTGCCACAGCTCAAGTTTCTTAGGTTATGTTTTTTTTTATTTCATTCATTCATGTTGTTTCCTGTTTTACTTTGAAACTCACATCTCCTCTCTTTTCAGATCCCCTCACTTCCTGCCCCTGTGTTTTCCCTCCCTTTTGATGACTTCACCTGTGTCTGATTGTCTGTCCCGCCCTGATTAGCCTCATCTGTGTCTCGTCATCCTTCCCCTCACCAGAGTGTTTAGAGTGTGTCTTGTTTTCTGTCAGTGCCAGTTCGTCTTAGCTCTTTGTGTGTTGAGTGCTCCAGCCTTTTGGTTCCCTGTGTCCCTTTCTTGGTTTTTTGGATTTAGACTGATTGCCTCTGCTTCTGCCTCACCCCTTTTGGATTTGTTTGCCTCCACTGATAGACCTTCTGTGTGCTGAACCTACCTTTTCACCAGATCTGAAAACATGTTGGCTCTATACACACTAAAATTACTTTTATTTAAATGGAGTCTGGTGGGTTTGACAATGGACATTTTGGGGCTGTTTCTGGTCAAATAATAGGATCTTACTCCTTAACAAAAAAGGTTTATCTCCTTTCCATAATAATGTCAGATGCTTAAAATAATCTGAGCCTGTTAGTGTCAAAATCAAGCACTTCTAGAAGGCGTAAAGTGTCGGTGCACGATTGCCCTGAGTGGTTACATTGCAGCCTGTTTCGCCACTGCTGGCTGCAGTGGTTTTGCTTAATGCAGGCCAATTTAAAAACCCATTGTTCCCATTGGTCACTCACACACAAAAACATAGAGTCCTGGTTGAAAAATACCAAGCTTACCCTTTAAACTTGGCCTTTTTTGAAGCCAACATTTGTTTTAACTCTAAAAAAATCGATTTTGATGGTGCCGATAAAAATGAAAATTGGCTTTCTGTGGCTTACTGGCTCTTTTTTTCTGTTAATCAATGAGGACTGCCCCTGTACAGTAGACCAATAGCATAAAAATAAAAGCACTCAGTACTTTTGTCAAAGTTCATCTCAGTCAAATAAAATGTCTGAAACGTTTGCTTCAAATCACTGGACAGCAGTTTTGACTGAGGATATTTCTGAGGCTTCCTCAGTTTTAACTGTTGTCACAACAGAACTGGTTTTAGTAGCTGGACCTGTCCTACTGCTGGGACAAGTAACATGGGGATTAATAATTACAACTGCAGAATCAAAACTCCAGTCCAGTGGTATGGTTTCCTCCAAACAAAATGCTCAGTTGTATCTGTTTATGTCATTTCCACCTGTTAATCACCTCATTTTTAATCTATATTTAATGTTTTTATTTCCCTGTAACATCTTTACTGTGTTGCCTTGAGCACCGCTCCTCAACAAAACAACTGTCAATCAAACAGCATCTGTGATCCTGCGACTGAGGCAGATATTTCCCACGGACGCCCTACAAGCTGTCGGGTGTTTGTATCAGCAGCTGTGACAAATGTAAAAGCTTTCATGAAGTGAACGCTGGCTCGGTATCTTTTGACATCAGGTTCCATCTTGTCTTTAAGAATCTCATTTGTAACGGTTCCAACACTGAAGGAGGCTTGAGAAAACAGGTGTTATTTTTTTAATATAAATGCTGTTTATGCGTACTGTTGAAGCGTCATGCTGCGTGAGTGCAGATTTTTCAGTGCATGTGCCCACAGCCGGACACCGAAGAGACTCTCCGTGCTCACATACATTTCACCTGCCATGGTTTTAATAAAGGAAGGTAGTTACAGAAAATGTGCTGCTGGACTCTGAAGTGTGTGATTTTGATCCCAGAGGCGTAGTTTCATTATACAGAACACGGTCACATCTATCATACACACTGTGACCAAGAGCTGCTGACTTTGGCCTGCTGGAGGATATTTTTCACCGGCAGCACTTTCAGGTTCACACTGTAGAGTGTGTCATTTCTGAGATGAGCTATGAGGTTTGCGGAGGCATAACGGCAGTAATGGGGCCCATTTTCCCCCGCACACTGGAATCACACTGAGGCACAACAGACGCAGCCTTTAATAAGCACTTGGGTTTCGTTGGGGTTACCTGGGGTTTGGTAGAGGCCGGGGGCAGCGTTGGGGGATGCTCGTTCATCACCGTGGTAACCATGGAGGAGCCGGAGCCAAAGACGGCGGCGATGGGGGAGGGGGTTTCACTGGGTGGGGTCATGCTGAGCGAGGGGGAGGTGGCAGAGGAGGAGAGAGAATCCTCAAACAGATCTCTGTCCTTAAACGCAGAGCTCAGCTCAGGCTCTGGGAGAAACCCTGGACACGCAGAAAGAGACGATACCAGATCAATAATCATGTGTTATCACCACAAAATGTACAATTAACAAATTATGGAACCATTTTGTTTTATTTACTTATCTAAATTAAAAAAATCTAATGTAACCAAACCTTTCAAGAGATGTCATAGGGGTCTGTGTTTAACCACAGCAAAACAATATCAAAACATCTGTTTACACCTCTCAAACAACTATTGCAGTATTATCAAAGTTGGATTTATCCAGTCGTTTGCTCAGGACTTCTCAAAAACGTGCAATTTTGCTAAAACGTTATTCATCCTGCCTGATCATGCCTTTGCAGTAGCTGCTCCAAAGCTCTGGACTAGCCCTCCATTGACACTTTCAAGGCAAATCTTAAGACATACATGTTTTGCCTTTGGATGTTCGTAGTGGTTTTGATATTTTAGTATTTTATAATCTTTTTATGTATGTAATTGTTCCTACGGAGTTTTTCTGTTTTATATTCGTGTACATGTTACATTGCTACATATTTGTGTACCATTCTTTTTTTTTTGTACAGCACTTTGGTCAACTGTGGTTGTTTTTAAATGTGCTGTATAAATACACTTGATTTGATTTGCTTGAACAGCCCTTTCTCTTTCCCAGGGTGTCAAATACAGCCGCTTTGTCATGCCCCTCTATGTGTGATATCAACACCAAAGATGGCCTTGAGCGTCTTTATGAGACGCACCAGGCTTTTAACTAACTTCAATACATTGAGGTTAGAAATTAGAAAGCATCTGACTTTGTTTAAAGAGTGAGAAAGTCCACATAGGGCTGGAGGGAGGGAAGATGGATGAGTCAAACAAAACTGGACTTTCATCCAGGAGACTGCAGTTCGTATTCCGTCAGTGTTGTTTTAATGTAAAGTTTCCTAATTTACATTTGGTTGTATTTACGTCACTTTAAATTACATAACAAAAATGCTTATTCTAACCCAAAACATGATCTTTTTCCAAACCTAACCAAGTAGTTTTGCTAATTGCAACCGTTTCACAACATTAACCCTGTGTTATAATGTGCTTATGTCACATGGATACACAAAAGGGTGCCCTGTGTGTTGCTATGAGATGCCCAGGGGTGAGATAAATCATTGATATTTGCCGACCTGGGAATGCAGGACAAGTAACATTTTAGCAAGAATGCATTTGTTTGGGAAGTACTGAGCATACGACTGGACAAATCAGACTTGGATTATACTGCTTGAGATGTGTGTGAGTTTGTAAACTAATGTTTTGATATAGTTTGCTGTTGTTAAATGCAGATTCTTTACTTTAATGCATCAAGAATATTCTCACTTTTTGGATTCTACTTTTCTTGTATAGGCATGCGAGAAAAACAAAGGTTTCCCTCACAAATTTAATGTAGCACAGGATGAGAAATTGGATACACAAATAGTCATTTGAGGGGTGAAGTATTCCTTTAACTACAATTACAACAAACATGTTTTCTTCCTTAAAACAGTCTCACCACAACATCCAATCAGAAGCTGATCAGGAGCTTTATCTTGGATCAAATCATCGTCCTCAGCCAATGGACGTTGCCTGCTTTTCCATGTAATCGTAGAAATTTTTGATGCACTCTCAAGGCTTCTCTCCAGTGTGAGATTAAAAGATGAAAACTGAATTCTGAACATCTAAAATTGGGTGAACTTTATGTGCTGAGAAGAATTGTTTGATACAATCCACTGTCCACAACGACTGTTTCAAGGTCAGGAGCAAACCTTCGATCATCATTTTGATTTTGTCTGTTTTTCAGATATCTGTTTGGTGAAATTTCTGCCACCTCTTCATTTCAGTGGAGTTGGATAGATTTTCATGTGCGGTGCTCAAATTCGAGATCTTTTTCTCAGAAACAAAATACTGGTTACTCTGAATAATTCACAGACATCTCTGTGTGACATCTTTATATTATCTGGAGTCACCATGCACAACACTGTTTATGGATAGAATTGTATTAATGATATGAGCACCATCAGATCTGACCTGTTTAAGTCATGACAACCAAAGCATTCATTTCATTATTTACATCTCTGCATTTCCGACTGCCACATATCAAAATGTCTGCAATGAAAAAGGCTCCCTGTGAGACAGCACTGCAGTCGTGTATCTGTGTATCAGGATCAGTTGACGGCTCACCTTTTCCATGCCGCTCTTTATCACGACGACTCCCTTGTTTCCTGTGCTCAAAATGGTGTCCATGCCCATTCCCGTGTCCGTGCCCCCTTCCCTTGCGTGTCCCCAGAAGCTGGTTTTCCCGGCCCTGGGACGGACTCTTCACACTCATTCTCACTCTGTCTCTGTCCCTGCCCGGGCCCATCTCCAGTCTCACCGGGCTCAAACTCTCCAGGCCCATCCCATCATCCTCAGGCCTGGCCAGGGGGTGCAGGGGCCTGTGGGATAGCAGCCCGGCTCCAGCTTTGGGAGCTCGGGCCCCCTGGCCCCCATGCCCGCCGCTGCGGTCCCTGCTGTAACGGTGGCCCTGTAGACCTTGCAGAGGGTGCTGCAGGGCGTTGCTGCCACCTGCTGAGGTCTGTGCCTGTCTCCTCTTGCCGTGAGGAGCTCCGGGCTCAGTGCTGTGTGACAGTGTCAGGATGGCAAAGAACGCCAGGAGGAGACTCCAGGAGAGAGCCATTGTCTGTACAGCACAGCGCCACCTGCTGGGAAGAGCAAATACATCTCAGTACTGCACACATTCTGCTTGTCAACTTAAGCACCACTGCTGATTGTTCATACCAAACAATATGGTGGGCTGCTTCTTTGGCATTTTCCCTTTTTCTGATAGTACAGCTTAAGATTGACAGGAAAGGAGGGACAGAGAGAGCAAAGGGCCACAGGTCGGAATTGAATCCATGTTGCTGCAAGGCCTCAGCCTATATGGGGCGCATACTCTACCAGGTGAGCTAGAGGTCGCTCTGTTCTGCTGAATTAACTAGTGTTACCTCTCTCAGTGACAGCTTACTGGCTCCGAACCCAAGTTGCGAACACGTTAGCTCATCAACATTAAATTAGTTTGGCTCGTTATTAGCTAGTAACTATCTACTAGCAGTCCGGACCACTCTGCAGAAGAGAGGATAGCAAGGTGTTGGGGTGCCGTACATCAACAATGGCTTTATTGCAGTCTTCACAACAAAACAACAAGCATGGCCTTCTCATGAGGTTTAACAGTAGCCCTGAGCTTATCTAGACACTTAATTCTGCTGACTGTCATCACTCTTTGCAGCCTGCCGTCTTCACCATGACACCCTGAGGGAGCTGCTTTCCTTCATATACACTAAACACACCATAAAGTACACGACACACCCTCACTGACAACTATTTTGATAATTGATTAATTTATTTTGAAAGGCAACTATGTGGGTTTAATACTTTTCTTTGTCTTACATGAATTATAAACTGAATATTTTGTAGTTCTGGCTAATGAAAAGATATCACTTTGGGTGAAAGTCATCTGCATTTTATGGATCAAATGATAAATCAATTTATCATTAGTCCAATTGCCAGAAAACATGTTGGCATTGTATGTTTCTGCAAACCACAAATATGTCACATTTGTATGTTATTATATAGTGAATAACTTGAAACTTAATGTATGTTTACATTTCAACGACGCTGTGGTTAAGAAAATGGAGAAAATAGCCATGGTTATGGTTAGAAAAAGATCATTTTTTGGTTTTAAAGCCCTACTTTTGTTGCCTCTATGTCAGCAAGAAAAGCAGCAATGTCTTGGTAAATAAATAAATAAATAAATATATAAAAAAAAACAAATGCTTTTGTGCCACTATCCATGGTAAAAAAGCAGTGACAGGTTGCTAAACAACTGCTGGAAACCGAGCGATAACTCGCCAAAACAGAAGCGGCGTTGTTTTGTTGCTCTCGAATGGTAGTCTGTAGCTTGGTAGGTCTCTTGTCTAGCTCTCACCCCTTCCCTCAGCTCATATACACCACTTTATAAACGTTGATATGGTACATATGAAACGTACAAATGTAAAGTATTTGAGGTTTACCGAAAAATACAATGCTAACATTTTCTTCTTCCCACTGGGCTGAATCAAGAAAGTAATTGGCTGATTAATTGCTATAAAAATAAAAACTGTTACAGCCCTACATGCAGTGACTTCTTGGATTACATGTACAGTTTGTATTAAAGAATTTGACGACACAACACTGGAGACATGAATGAAAATCCCAAAGCAATAATTGTGGACTTAGTGAGGATGCTGACTTTAGCATTTAGCTCAAAGCAACTCAGCGCCTACAGCAGGTACAGCCTTTCAGAGCTGCTAGCATGGCTGCAGACTTTGTATGCACAGTATGTAAACAGTCTTTCACCAATAACTAACAGTAAACCTCAAGCTTAATTTACACATGTATTTTGAAAGACGATATTAGAATATGAGCATGATCTTTTATTCCCCTGTGCAAATATCAGGGACATAAATGACTAACTTTTTTCAAAAGACCATCCTCAGCTAACTTCCACCCTCGATGCAGAAGCCTCTTTCTGAAACCACGGAAGTCCTCAGGTTTTGTGTCCTTTCTCCTGCTGTATTCATTCATCCCATCAGCCTTCCTACAAATTCAGACTACACCGCTCTCAGCCTGTTGAGATGGCGCATTTATCAGCACCTGTTGGGTCTGAGGAGGCGATAAAGAGATGGGCAGACACTTGTGCCTCCTTTCAGAAACCGCAGCCTTCATTGCTGTACCTTCACACTTTGCTCAGTATGAGATACTGCACTGCGTGCATCCGTCATCACTGCCTGTTCAGCGGCCTCGAGAGCCCTCCAACCGTCCCTTTCATTACAAAAGTCAACACATCTGTGAGGTGTGACTGAAGTGAAATATGAGGTTCTGTGTGTCTACATTAAAAGCCCAGCACCGCGTACAGACATGAGGAAAATGATGGTGGTTGGATTCACATCTTAACGTTCCAACCTACATTACATTCAGGACTTAGGTTAATATTTATTGCATTTATAACATGATATTTAGTACTACATGTATTTTAAAATGATTATAGCATTAGGAAGCCACAAAGAGAAAGTGTGGGTGTATTTAATTTGAAATATCAGAACACATAAGGTATGTAAATTCAATGTTACGTATAAGTCCTGCAAACTGATGTTTAATGTAGTTCACTAATACGCATTACACTCTTCACGGATTGTAGAAAAACCTAAATAACTCATGTTTGTTGGTTTTTACTACTCTAATTTGCTTGAAATCATTTATTTAGAATTTAGTTTAAAAAAAAAATGGGGGAAAAATTTGAAGGGAGATATAACAATAAAACAAAGGAAACATCTAAACTGATAAACAATACCATGACGATCATAGACAGTATAAAAGAAGTGGATGTAGCCAACCTGATGTCACCCATTGGTTTGTGGGCTCCCATTCTGAAGCCTCAAGTTTGGCATTTTGGTCGTTGCCATCTTGGTTTTTTGGAGCCACATGTGACCAAATGGAGTAGTGAGGGGTGGATCTGACTGAGAACCCAAGGACTACACTGTGGTACCTATTTGTCAATCATGAGGTAGCTATGCCCTGAATCATCCCTTGCATTATCGGCTATTTTACAAATGGAACTATAATTTGCAAAATAAACATTAAAGACGACCTGATACAAGCAACTGAGACCATAAACTCATTAGGAAAAGGTTTACTGAGGTAATATATTAAGTAAGATATTGCGTCATTCTTTCATAGACTTCTATACAAACTTCTATACTGCCCCCTGCTGACCATTTGAAAGAAAGCAGGTTTGAGGCCTTCCACATCGCCTTCACTTTTCAGACTTGGATATAGCACGTTTGGATGACGTGACACACAGGCACAATCAGTGTTGGGTAGGAACTTGTTACATATAATTGCATTAGAAAATGAATGCAACTGTGATCAGTTCCATTTACTGAGAAAAATGTTGGTAAACATGTAATTAAATTACAGTTATTCATCAAGATGTTGATGATTACAAAGGGGTTACATCCAGATTTTTTGTTTTCGGTAAGAAGTTTACGTGTAGAATATAAAATTCACTCTGTTGCTTTGCATCTTTTCCTCATACAATAATGACATCTTTTGACACAGCCTGGACATTTTATTACTGATGCAGTGTTAGAAAAGTAATTTTAAAAAATAAAATAAAAAATGTAATAAGTTGCTTAAGTTGGATGAAGTAATTAAAATACTAAATTAAGTATTATATTTCTAAAAGGCTAACTAGTAATCTGTGACCTATTGCATTTCAAAAGTTATCTTCCCAACACTGGAATCAACACTCTTCCTCTAAAACTGTAGATTCAATATTCATCTATCAAAATTAAGATGTGTTGCAGCTTTTCTCCTCTACCACACACTGTATTCACCTCACCAAACACTGACTTCACCAGTCTGAGGTAGTGTGTGGCTCCTTACATACCGTCCATCCCCATCGATACTAAACAATAGTATTGCCATTTTCTGTAAAAATCCATACGTACTGAGTAAATATTAAAGGTTTACAATGAAAGACCGTATTTGTGTTGGGATATTTTAAAAGATAATTGTTGTACATTTTGGAGTTTCTTTAATAATTCTCTTATATTTTCTGTGTATGGTTGTTTTTTCTGAAGATGATCATAAAAATGTTTTGTACACCATGGCAATCTATAAGTGACTGTATGATGACTCTATAAGAAAATCTGAACTAATCTCAGACACCCCAATAAGAGCAGGGCAGCTGAGATTATTGTGAGAGGTGAATAAAGTGTGGCGTACTGGAAAAGAGTTGTGTGACATGTTTTAATTTGAACTGAAGCTCACTGAAGCTCACGCTGGTCTTCACCTCCCTGCGTGTGTGTGTGTGTGTGTGAACTCAAACTCTTTATGAGATAAGAGAACAACAGCTCTTCTCATTTTAAATCTCTGTCATGTCTTGTTCGATCACAGACCATAGTGTTGTCTCTAAACATGATCTGGTTTGTTTTGTCGTCCACTTTAACGTGAAGAGAGAATCCATCGGCACAGACTCACACACACAACGCCATTATGGTGCTGTGGCAGGCGACTCCTTTGTGTTAAAAGACAAACGGCGGTGCAGAGCATACAGAAAATCAATGAGGGAGAAGTATTGAGCTGCTGGTGATGGGGTGTGTGTTGGTGTGTGTGTGTGAGAGGCGGAGTTGGGGGGGGTGGATAAGGCCTCTGCTTTTTCATCACACTGACACACACCAAGTTGAAATCACACACCCTTTGGGTTTACAGTGGGTTATTTAGTTGTTTCTAAAAACAGGGCAGAGGCAGCAGGTTGTGTATGTGTGTGTCTGTGTGTGTGTGTGTGTGGAGAGGATGCTGGTGATGTCGGGGGGGAAATGTGCAGTGCGAGTGCGGGCAGCGCCCTGAGGGATTTAGAGGCAGACTGCGTCGGCTGGCCTCTGGGAGTTCGACCAGCTGTGCAGTTTGCAAACAAGAGTGTGAAGCTGGCTGCTGAGGTGAGACCTTTATCTCCTAACAGGCCTTCAGAGTGTCAGGAGGGGGGAGGGCGACCAGCCGTGTCACGCACAGAAGTGTTTAGCCAGGATTACGCTGTGTCTGCTTAACACATGAGGCACTGCTTCTAGACGCTGTGCGACCAAAAGGTTTATTTAATTTAAGACAAGCAAAGAAAACATCCAAA